AGTGACCGTCACAATAAAGTGAGTCACACAATTGGCCCAGTGGTGAGAATCTTTGTTTTCTTGATGTTGAGCTTCAATCCATATTGAAGTCTACAGACCTTGACTTTTTGCAGCAAATGCTTCAGGTCCTCCTCAGTTTCCACAAACAGGGTTGTGTCATCTGCATAATGCAGGTTGTTGATGACTCTTCCTCCAATCCTGATGTCATTTTCCTTCTCCTAAAGTTCAGCTTCCCAAAGCATCTGTTCTATATACAGATTGAAAAGGTTTAGAGACAGGATGCATTCCTGATGAACTCCTTTCCTGATTTTGAACCTGCAGTGTTCCCTTGCTGATCAGTGTTCTGATGACTGTGTCCTGGTCCAAGTATAGGTTGTACATGAGCACAATTAAGTGTTCTGGGATTCTCACTCTTCTCAAGGTCAGCCACAATTGTGATCCACACAGTCAAATGCCTTTGCATAGTCAATAAAGCACAGACAGACATTCCTCTGGTCCTTACTCTCTGCTTTCAGCTGAGAGATCCATCTGACATTGGCTGTGATGGTTTACAGTCACCGTAGCTTCCTCTAAAACAAGCTTGCTCTTCTGGCAGTTCTCTGTTGGTGTACTGTTTCAGTCTACTTTACATAATCTTCAGCAAGATTTTGCTTGCATGTGATAACAGTAATATTATTCAATAATTTCCACACTCTGTTGGATCTCATTTTTTTTAGAATGGGAATAAATATGGATTGTTTCCAGTCAGTCAGTGAGGTAGTTGTCCTCTAGATTTCTTGGCATAACTTGGTACTACTTACTACATGGTACTTATTTAAAGAAAATAAATCAGTGGAGCTCTGGTGGCTTAGTGGTAAGAAATTGAGCGCAAACACAAAGGTACACTGTTTGATTCCTCAGCTTCTCTGCAGGAGAAAGATAGGCAATCTCCTCCTATGCGATTTACTGCCTCTGAAAACCCACTGAAAGCTCAGCTAAGGGTCGGTTCAGGTACACAGACAGTATTGTGTAAGCATTAGAAGATGTTTGGTTTTCCCTACTCAATCATCAGTTGCAGTAACAGGTTGCATGAAGGTGGTGATCATCACCAGCTCTAAAGACCTCACAGAACTTGGAGGTCTCTTTGCGTTCCTACTGTTAACAAGATATAGATGCCATTTATCTCAGTTCAAACTATGAAAGAGAAAATTTGATTGATTTTTCTTGGGTAAGACATGTCTTGCCTAATCACTGGAGGCCAAGGTGCTAAGATCATCTGAGGAAATATAGCTGTGGCATCATGGCAAGAAGCACTGCAACCCCAAAGGCACGTGGCTTGAATCCACCAGCTGCTCTGTGGGAGAAGGATGGGCAGTCTCCTCCCATGTGATTAGCTGCCTCTGAAATCCCACTGGAGGGTCAGCCATGAGTTGATTCTGATTCTATGGTACACAAGAACAGTAACAACAGGCTCAAGTCTTAAGTATAGGTTATTATTATGTACCATCAAGTCAGAACCAACTCCTAGCAGACTCTCCAGTGGATTTTCAGAGGCAGTAAATGGCACAGAAGGAGACTGTCTTTCTCCTATGGAACACCTGGTGGATTGAAACCACGTGCCTTTGCATTGGCAGTGCAACTCCTTACCACTAAGCCACTAGTCGTCAATGTACACATCCTTCAAAGAGAGCTGTAAAGGATGTATGAACAAGAATGTCATTACTGACAACTCTATTTTATTGTTGTTGTTGACTGCCTTTGAGCTGAACACGATTCATAGCAACCCTATGAATAAAAAAGGCCTGTAGTCCCTCTACAACTATCGACATCTATAAAAGTTCATAGAGTTTCTGGAATCATGTTGTTTAGGAAGTAGATGCCACTCTTGCTTCCAAACTTGTCATAGTATGTTATTGTTGTTGCGTTCCACTGAGTTGCCTGCAACACATAGCGACCCTATGTACAGCAGCTCTGAACCCTTCCCTGTCCTGAGCCTGTCTCACTAATTCTGACACACCAACTACCATTGCACCAGTCACTGTATCAACCCTCATCCGAGATCTTCCACTCCTGAGCTATCCGTCCACCCTTCTGAGCATGATGACCTTCTCCAAGGACCAATCTCTACTGGCTTAAGGAAGTTAAAAAATAGCTATGTATACAATCTCGGAGAGAATACATATAATAAATGTACTAGTGAATACAGGGAAAAATGATTCAACTATTTATTTGTGCTTTTATTGCTATTTAATTGGCAAAATAACATTATCTAGAAATCAGGTTATTCTACCCTAAATACAGACATCCATAAGTCTCCACACTTTGCTCTTTTACTCTTTCACGGCACCTTCAGAATCTGTTAAAGAAATAAAAATGAAAAGATGTAACTATATTTGAAAAATTGCATCAGTAACTTATTTCATTAGCTTTTCTTTCCCTCTTCCTTCTATTACCTGGAGTCTTGCATTTAATCTGAGTCAGTGCTGGGGGGATGCATGTGTGAGAGGGATTCTATGTAGAAATAAGACGACAAGATATCATTCTGGTTGTTAAATACAGTCAGGTATCTAATGTGACTCATAGCGACCCTATGAACAACAGAGCTAAACCATGTCCTATCCTGTGCCATCCTCATCATCTTTGATACTCTTGAGTCCACTGCCTCAGTCACTGTGTCAATACATCTCATCGAGAATCTTACTCTCTTTAACTGACCTTTCCAAGCATGATGTGCCTCTCCATGGACCAGCCTCTCGTAGCGACATGGCCCAAGGTATGTGTGACGAAGTTTTATCATTCTTGCTTTCAGGGAGCATTCTGGCTGCATCCTTTCCAAGACATACATGGTTTTATCCTTTTACAGTCTATAGGATATTCAACACTCCTCTACATAATCACAGTTCAAGGGCATCAACTCTTCTTTGTCATTCATATTCATTGTCCAGCTTTCAGATCCATAACAAGTGATTGAGAAGATCATGGCCTGAATTAGATGCACCTTATTCTTCAGACTGATACTATTCTTCAGTAATTTGGAGAGGTCCCTGATTTGTCCAATGCAATACGTCTCCTCATTGATCTCCTGACTGATGGTACCAAGGGTGTTGAGTTTGCATCCAAGTAAGATGAAATCATTGGCAATTCCGGGCTTTTCTCCATCTATCAAGAAGTTGCTTATAGGTCCAGTGGTGAGAACTATTATCTTCTTGATGTTGATATTTAATCCATATTGAGGAGTGTATTATTTGATCCTCTCTGACAAGCATTTCACTCCTCACTTTCAGCAAGCAGCACTGTCTTTTGAGTAACACAAGTTGTTGATGAGTCTTCCTCAGATCCTGATCCCACATTTTTCTTCATAAAGTCCAGCTTCTTGAATGTTTTTTTCTTTCAGTGTACAGACTGAATAGGTATGGAGAAAGGATATCGCCCTGATGCATACCTTTGATAGAAGTTTCGTATGAGCACAATTAAGTGTCCATTCTTCTCAAAGTTGTGGATAACATCTAGTAACTTGGGACTCATAGTGACCCTATGTACAATAGTTCTGAAATATCCTAGTATCACTGTCTCTGATAAACCTCCTCCTATCACCCCAGTTACTGTATCAATCCATCTCATCCGAGGTCTTCCTCTCCTGTGCTGTCGTCCCTCCACCCTTCCAAGCGTGATGTCTTTCTCCAAGGACTGACCCTTCCTGGTCACATGCCCAAAGTATGTGAGATACAGTTTCAAGATCCTTGTATCCAAGGAGCAAATTTCTGGAATCATGTTGTTTAGGAAGTAGATGCTACTCTTGCTTCCAAACCCATCATAGTATGTTATTGTTGTTATGTGCTGTTGAGATGTACAGCAGCTCTGAACCCTTCCCTGTCCTGAGCTAGTCTCACTAATTCTAATACACCAACCCCTATTGCCCCAATCACTGTATCAATCCATCTCATCAGGGTCTTCTTCTCCTTCACTGTCCACCCACCTTTACGAGCATGATGTCCTTCTACGAGGACCGATCTTCTGGTTTCACCCTCTACAGGACAGACCTGTTTGTTATTTTGGCAATCCATAGTATGTTCAATAATTTTCTCCAGGACCACAACTTAAAGACATTAATTCTTCTCAACTTAGCTATAATTTATTATAAACCACACAGTCAAAGGCCTTTGCATAGTCAATAAAGCACATACAGACTTTAAGCCAGGATCTATCTGTTATCAGCAATGATATCCCTGGTGCCATGGCATCTTCTAAACCCAGCTTGAACTTCTGGCAGTTCTCTCCCAATGTATCAATCTAGCCATTTTGGGGTGACCTTCAAAAATACTTTTCTTGCACATGATAGTAATGATATTTTTCAATTATCATTAGGTATTTTCAAATAGCAAAACTACCTGTCCGCCTTCTTCTGAGACCTGAACCTGTTTCTATATAGACAATCACTCTGTGACCCTTTGTTTCTCACTCTTCATGTTCTGTCCAGCTATACTCCCTCCCTTGGCTCTCCCCTCCCTTCTCTTGGCCTGGTTTCTCCTCAATGAACCAATTAAAATTCATTTCCCAGGATCAGTGCCATTCTAAAGCTGATCATAATTGTACATGTTTTAGAAAATCCAGAAAAACAATGGATTTTTTTTCTTCATTCTGTAGACTAGACCCTTAAATAAAAGTGTGGAGGCTGAAGAGAATATACCAATTTATCAGCCACAAAAAAATCCGCATCAGCCTTGCCTACGTGAACTATATAACAACTCAATAAAATACTTGGAAAACATGGGCTGGTAGGTCTATTTGTGTCTGTGTTTTTTCTCTCTCTCTCTCTCTCTCTCTCGTTTAACCTTGGTTATGGAAGTTGGAAGGTCCTGGAAGAGTTAGCAAGCAAGAGTTGGCAAAAGTCCTTAGGAAGGTGAGTAGGGGGGTGGTAGAAGAGTCTGAACAAAAGGAAGAGTCTAAACCAAAGGCAGCTCAAGGAAACTTGATCACCTTCTACTGAGTTCCATTAAAAAGAGTAATCGTTTTCTACATACCATTTGTCTGCTCTTCTGGGGCTGTTTGAGCAATAGAATCTAAAATCTCCGCTAAAGCAAAGAGAGAACAAAGAGACTTGAGCATTAGTGTTTAAATCCCTTTCACATTTTGCAATTATTATCTTTTTCTATTTTTCCCCCCTTCTCTGTTTCTGTCCTCAGAGATGCAAGGTGCTAGCTAACCCTAATACACAGTCTTCCTTTTCTAAGAGCCCACACCATGAAGGGAAAACCTTGGTCTTATTCAAAGCCCTGGGGACAAAATGGGCCTGTTCAGCTCAGGGTAGTAACTTTCTACCAATTTCCATGTGAAGTCTGGAAGCTCACAATAAAATATCACTGAGAAGCTTCCAGTGGATAAAGAAGATATAAGAATAGAAACAAGCTAGGTTTTAATCACACACCATTTGTAAAGGTACGTGCAGAAAATACATGGGACCTACATAAATATTATTTAGTATTCACATTGTTGTTTTGTTATGTGCTGTCAAGTCACCTGAGACTCATAGAAACTCCATATTGTTGTTGTTGTTGTTGATGATTACCTTCAAGTTAAGCATGACTCAGAGGAGCCCTATGAACAAAAGATTTGAAACCCCTCTACAACTATCGACATTACAACGACCTTAAACCCTTCTCTATCCTGTGCCAATCTTATTGTCTCTGACACACCTACCCCCATTACCCCAGTCACTGAATCAATCAGTCTCATCAAGGGTCTTCCTCTCCTGCATCCTGTGTCCTTTTACCCTCCCAAGCATAACTTCCCTCTCCAAGGATGGTCCTTCTTTGCAACATGTCCAAAGTACGTCAGATGAATCTTCAGAATCCTTGCCTCCAAGGAGCAGCCTGGCCTCACCCTCTCCAAGATGAACCTCTTTGTTCTCCTAGCAGTCCATGTATATTCAATATTCTTTTCCAGCACCACAGCTCAAGGGCATCAATTCTCCTTTTATCATCCCAGCTCTATCATTGTCCAGCTCTCTGATGCATATCAAGTAATTGCAAAGACCATGGCCCATATCAGGTGTACCTTAGTCTCCAGATTGACATTGCTCTTCTGTACTTTGGAGAGGTCTCTGACAGAAGACTTTCCCAGTGCAATTCATCTTTTAGCTTCCTGGCTGCTGAGTGTTGATTGTGGAGCCAAGCAAACTAAAGCTGTTAACTATCTTGATCTCCTCACTGTCTATCATGATGCTGCCAATTCGGCCCAGTGGTGAGAATCTTTGTTTTCCTGATGTTGAGCTTCAATCCATATTGAAGGCTACAGTCTTTAACCTACTGCATCAAGAGCTTCAGGTCCTCTTCAGTTTCAGCAGGAAGGGTTGTGTCATCTGCATAACACAGATTGTTGATGAGTCTACCTCCAATCCTGACGCCACATTTCTCCTCATAGAGCCTAGCCTCCTGGAAAGATTTGTTCTGCATGTAGAAAAGGTATGGAGATAGGACACATCCCTGGTGTACACCCTTCCCAATTCTGAACCATGTAGTGTTATCTTGCTATGTTCTAACGACTGTCTCCTGGTCCAAGTATAGATTTTTGCATAGGCATGATCAAGTGTTCTGGGATTCCCATTCTCAGAATCAGCTAGTTTGTTGTGATCCACACAGTCATGTCATAAAGGATAAGAGGTGGTGTCCCAGCTACCTTTATAAAGAGAATTCAAATTTGTTACTCTCAGTTTCATCCCCTCATCTATATTCTGAGGACGACCCTGGATTGAAATATTGGTAAGTTTTGGCTTTGTGATGTTTTCAAACTTTATTGACTGTATTCTACAACACAAGAAAAATAAAAAGCATATCTCACTGTAACCTAGTACATATATGTGTAAGTATAAATTAAACAAAACAAAACAAAAAGTTTACATGAAGGAATACTTAACGCTTTTCTAATCTAGGCTTGCTTTATTATTATTTTTTAATTTTTCCTACTGATGCTTTTTTTTTAAAAATATCTTCTAGCTCACTTGGCTTTTGTGGCTTAGTGGTAAATAATTGTGGTGCCAACCCAAAGATATCTGGTTTGAATTCACTAACTGCTCCACAGGGAAAACCTGGGAAATCTCCTCCCAAGCAATTTAATGCCTCTGAAAAACACTAGAAGTTTAGCTATAGGTTTATTCTGACTTGATGGTACACAATGACAACAACTTATACCAGTTTTATTCTGGTTCACTAGTGGAAATGCTGGTCACAACCAATTAAATTTATTTTGAGCCCTACTTTTTTTTTTACAACCTACATAAAGGTCTATACCCATAGTATGAAAAAATTATGTTATACTTTATTCTAAGTCTCCCTTGAAAAAGGACCTACAAAACAGTCTGACAGTCAAATCTATGTTTCCTCTTTATCACTACTTAAGTTCTTTATTATTGTTATATGACCTTAAATCAAAATTACACATAGCTGACCCTCCAGTGGGTTTTCAGAGGCAGTAAAGTTATGGGAGGAGACTGTCCTTCTTTCTCCCTTGGAGGAGCTGGTGGATTCAAACCACCTACCTTTGGGCTGGTAGCACAACTCCTTACCCACTCAGCTACCAGACCTCCCTAAAGTTCTTTGTTGTTGTTCTTGATTACCTTGAATCAAGCACGACTCATAGCAATCCTACGAATAAAAGGCCTGAAGCCTCTCTACAACTATAGACTTTATCAAAGTTTAGAGTTTCCAGAGGCATGCTGTTTAGGAAGTGGATGCCGCTCTTGCTTCCAAACCTGTCATAGCATGTTATTGTTGTTATGTGCCATTGAGGCACCTGTGATGTATAGCAACCAAAGTTGTTTAGTGTGTATGACTTTGGGCGACATTTAAGGGCCTAAAATTTTAATTGTTGTTGTTTTTTGCCATCGAGTTGAGCACGACTCATAGTGACTCTAAGAACAAAATGTCTGAAGCCTTTCTATAATTATCGTCATTTCTCCAAGTTCATAGTTTCCAGAGGCATATGGTTTGGGACATGGATGCCATTCCTGCTTCCAAGCTTGTCTTATACTGGGAGTTCCACCAAACAATATCCACCATGGGCAGCCATTATGGTATTTGACACTCCAATGGCACAAGGTTCAGCATCACAGTAAACCTATATTACCCCAGTGCAGCAAATTTACAGAAAAGTGCAACTTAGAAGAATGTTCCTTCAAACTAACACTAGACCCTTGGGTCCAACTGACTTTTAAATACAAGGGCTATAAATATGAATAAAAGGAAGTAGATGCCACTCTTGCTTCTAAATTTGAATCATTCTGGGAACTCCACCAAACACTGCCCACGATGGGTAGCAATTATGGTATTTGGCACACCTAAGGCACAGTTGTTCCATTATGGCATTTGAGGTCCAAATGGCATAAGATTCAGTGTCATAGCAAACTCAGATTATTTCTTCATAGCAAATTGACCAGAATGCTGTATGACTTAGAAGACTCTTCCTCCAAAATATAGTAACAGGGGATTAAAATACAATCCCTTAGGCCCAACTTTTAAATATAATGGTCCTCCCCCTCCCCCAGGTCTTGTTGGCTGTAACCAAGAGATTTAAATAAAAACCACCAAACAATCCACACAGATACTCAACCAAAACAAGACCACTGTTTTACAGAGTCCAGCTGCTTCATCTAACTTCAAAACGGAGGCAAGGGCTTTGACATTATATGTTGTTGTTAAGTGCTATCTAGTGCCAACCCTATAAATAAAAGAACTATTGTCCTTCCTCTAAATTAATAGAGTTTCCACAGGCATATTTAGGAAGTGGACACCACTCCTACTTCCAAGCCTGTAAAACCATTATGGCATTATGGCACACCATTCAGTATCATAGCAAATCCAAAGTTACCTCAATGCAGAAAAAGGACAGAACAGTGCTGTACCACATAGGAGGATGTTCATTTCAAAGACAATTAAAACCAGGCCTGAGGGCCGCAACTCTCATTCGCTCCAACAAGGGGCTCCCAGCCAACCAAATGCTCCAAAGCCAGAGCCAGTCCCCAGCCAACACAGAGGGGGGAAAAAGACAACTCACCCCTCCAAGGCCACATGAGTTTCTAAAGACATCAAATGACTTTTCAGACTCTCGGTCTGCATCTGGGCTCTCATTAGCAACAAGAGGCTTCCAGCAGGAGTGATGTTGTTGTTGAGTCACAGCTCACAGTGATCTCATGAACAATAGCTCTGAACCCTGTCCTATCCTACTCCGTCCTTATCATTCCCCACACACTGGAGCCCATTGCCACAGTCACCGTATCAACCATCTCACTGAGGGTCTTCCTGTCACTTGAAAGATGTTACTCTCCAATTGAGCTTCTACTCCTCCATTCTAGAAGCTACCAGGCACCTTTTCCGTGGCACATCTTACAGTTCTCCTCAGTTCTCTCACAACAGCCTCTGTGCCCTCAGTCCTTGCCTTAAGTGTTATTGTTTAACATTCGATGAATCATCTGGAAAAGTGCTGCCATTCAGGTACCCAGCGGCACCATCTATGTATTTCTTTGAACAACAATTCTGGAGAGCACCAAGTTCTCCATGCTTCTTTGGACAATGCTTTGTGCTTCTATAAAGCCCTCCAGGGCACCTACAATAGGAAAACTCAATAATCTAAGATTGAGTTCAATTAGTTCATGCATTGGCCCTCCACACAGCCATTCAGTCAACCAGCATCTGGCGCCTTGCTCCTCTCCCAATTTCACTCATTAATTTTGGATACTCTATTCTAGCCCAGCTAGTTACTTTATGTCTGTGGATACAATCTTTTACTTACTCAGGTTTGTGCTTATAGTCATGGCTGTTGCTAGCTGCTAGGTGCCATCAAGTCGGTTCCAACTCATAGCAACTCCATGTAGAACAGAATGAAATGCCGCCTGGTCCTGTACCTCCCTCCCCATAGCTGCTGTGCTGAGCCCACTGTTACAGTCACTGGGCCAATGTAGCTCATAAATGATCATTTGCTTCTTCTCTGTTCCTCTACTGTATCAAGCACCATGTCCTTTCCCAAGAATTGGCCTCCCCTGATAAATGCCCAAAATATATGAGACAAAGTCTCCTCAACCTCACCTCCAAAGAATGTTCGGGTTGCATTTCTTCCAGGACACATTCTCTTTTTTCTTTGAGTGTCAATGGTGTAGTCAATCTTCTTGCCAACACCACAATGTCCTCCTTCGCTCCTGTTGTTCCCATACCTCTCACTGATAATTTCTTACCTACCCTTCTACCTGCATGACCCCCCCTTTGCTTCTCTCACCCTTCTAGCTTCTGTATGTCCTCTCTTTTGGAAAGTCCTAATCTCTCATTCTAAGTCAGGGGATCTCCCGTGTAGTCCCACTACCCCCAGGGTCTGTCTACATCATAACACTAACCTTCTTTAGGTTCTGTTTTGTTCTGGATTTTTGTTTGTTTTGATTTGCTTTTCTGTTTCCCATAGTAAGAGGTAACTGCTTTATATGCAGGGCACATGCTTTATAAATATACCCAATAATGATACCCCTGTTGTTACTGTGGTTATGTACCTTCGAGTTGGAGCTGACCCATAGCTCAACCTCCAGCAGATTTTCAGAGGCAGTAAAATCACATGGGAGGAGACTGTCCATCTTTCCCCCGCAGAGCAGCTGGTGGATTTGAACTTTGTGCCTGTGCGTTGTCAGCACAGCTCTTTACCAGTGGGCCACCAGAGCTCCCTTTTACACTTCTAGCCTCTAGCATAGTTTATGGATATATAAACACCCATTTGCTCATTTTCCACTCATCTTAAGTCCCAATTAGATATCAAGTGATGATTCGATTTTCTCCTTCATGAGAACAAGGATCCTTGTTTCTTGTCATAATCGATTTCATTTTGGTCTGTCTTGACCTATTTTGGTCCTGTCTGGAAGGAGTCCTGATAGCACAGCTGTGAAGCACTTGACTGTTCTTCAAAAGTCCTATGGCTTAGAAGCCATCAGCCACTGAGTGCGATAAAGACGCAGGGGTCTGTTTCAGTCTTGTGAGGAGGAACTATGAGTAGGAACTGACCTGGTGACAAAGGGTTGCAGCCTTTGTTTATGGAGCTTTTTAGCTCACTGGCTGTCTTGACCTTTGCCTTTGCAGATCGCATTGCTCCTTTCCCCAGATATGTTAGCATGGCCATAAGCCCCTTACCATGTTCCCTGGCACTCATCCTCAATGAATGGTGCTCTCTGAGTCTCTGGTAGTTTCCTCTAAAGATCTGAGCAGGTGTTAAATATGATCTTATTGGTTACTACAGAATCAAGCTGGTGAAGGATTTAATTCTCATCTTTTCACTATTGCTGTTGTTGTGTACCAGAGAGTCGGAAACCGAGACATAGCTGAGTCGGCAGCTGGTTCAGATGCAGTTCATCGCATGGGAGGAGATTGCCCATCCTTCTCCCATGCATCTTTTAACTAATGGTGATCAAATCTCAGACAGTTTTATTACTTGGACGTGTGTGTGTGTGTGTGTGTGTGTGTGTGTTTCTAATTCAGTAAACCAACCACCTGTGAGACTTTTATCTTCACTGTTATCATCTTTGATGGATGAGGTCTCTAAGTTTTTTATTTGTCAGTGCCTGAAAAAGAAGTGAATCAAATATTAACTGAAAAGATCAAATGAACCTCATAAGTGAGTCATCTCATTATGTTAATAAGCAGAAAAGTCCATACTGTAAGAGTGCTCAGAATTCTGGTTATTGTCAATGCTCTGGTTTTGAAATTTCTGGAAGCACGTTTTGGGCAAGGCTCAAAGGTGCCTCTGTGTGTGTTGTTCCCTCTGAAAGAATCAAGGCTCTCATTCATCTCTATTTGGACTAAATCCTTCTTTCTTTTCATGATTCATTTCAGAGGGTACTTCCTCCAGGAAGTCTTTCCTGAACAAGTCTATCTTGAAAAGTCCTGATGGGGCCTCCACTGTGGTCTCAGGCACCTGGCATATTCTACTAGCCTACTAGTAGAATTAAGCCTACTGACCAGGCTGTGGCTCCTGAAGCCAGGGCCTGCCCTCCTCTACTGAAGTCCATCCTTCCCACTCCAGCCTCACTGCCGCCTTCCCCATTCCACAACTGTTCTCCACAAAGTCACAAATGACCCAGCTCCAGTGGGACACTTTCAAGCTTCGATTTACTGGATCTCATCTGGAATCGGCTGTAATCCTCTCTTCCTTATATCTCTGCACCAGCCTTCTAATATCTATCTTACTGCAGATAACCTTTTCTATTCCAATCTATTCTCCAAACTAACAAGAAATCTGGTCTACTTCCTCTCCAGCCAAATGTCGCTTTTGCATTTACTCTCTGTGACTTAATTTCTCAGGTTCATCTGCTTAGGCTTCAACCATTCCAGTTTTCTTTTTCCTTTACAATTTTTCAAATAAATTGTTATTGCTTGCCCACCTCAAGTCCTTTCTTTATGCCTTAGGCATAAACTCTCACGGAACAGAAACTCGTATTTCTTATTCCTAACTATCTTTACAACTATGCTGTTGTTGTTAGGAGCCATCCAGTCAACCAAGATGCACAGCAAACCTGCGAACAGATCTGAACTTCTCCTGTGCTCCACCATAGGAGCCATCCAGTCAACTAAGACACACAACAGACCTGTGAACAGATCTGAACTTCTCCTATGCTCCACCATCCTCCCCTTTTCTGACATTCTGAAGTCCTTTGTTACAGTCACTGTGTCAGTCTGTCTTGTTTAAGGTCTTCCTCTCTGACGTTCCACTTTTCCAAGCATGATGTCTTTTTCTTAGGATAGATTCTTCTGACAACAAGCCCAAAACATGTTAGGCAATGTTTCACCACCCTTGCCTCTAACTACAACCCTGGTTACACTTCCTCCAAGACAGACTTGTTTGTTCTTTTCAGAGTCCAAGGGATATGCAGTACTGTTCTTCAACACAGTAGCTCAAAGGTCTGACCCTATTTCTGGAATCTTTACTCATTGTCCAATTTTCAAATGTGTACAAAGCAACTGAAAAAAAAAAAGCATGGCTTGCATGAGGTGCAACTTAGTCTTTAGACTAACATACTTATGCCTCAGAGGTCTTAACAATAGATTTTCCTAATGTTGCATGTCTTTTGATTTCTTGACTGCTGGTATTATAGGTGTTGACTGTGGAGCTAAGTAAAACAAAGTTGCTGACAATTTTAATCTATCTCCATCTATCATGATCTGCTGCCTATAGGCTCAGTGGTGAAGATTTTTGTTTTCTTGTTGATATTTAGTTCATATAGAAGATTATAGTGTTTGCTCTACTGCACCAAATATTTTGAGTCCCCTTGACTTTCACTAGGCATAATTGTGATCTACAGAATGCGGTTGCTAATGAGTTGTCTTCCGCTCCTGATGTCACATTCTTTTTCAATTAGTCCAGCTTCTCAAATGATTTACTTGGCATACAGATTGCACAGGTGTAGTGAAGGGATACAACCCTAAGGCACACCCTTCCAGATTTTAACCTGTGCAGTATTCCCTTGTTCTGTTAAGAGCTTCTTGTTCTGTATGTGGGTTTCACATGAGCACAGTTAAATGTTCTGGGATTTGCATTCTTCTCAATGTTAGCCATAATTTGTTATAATCCACACGGTAAAAAGCCTTTGCATAGTCAATAAAACACAAATAGTCATCTTTCTCGTATGTGCTGATCTGACATCAACAATGATATCCCTCTTGCCACAACCTCTTCTGCATCCAGCTTGAATTTCTGGCAGTTCTCTTGTCTGTGTATTGTTCTAGTGATTGGTTTTGTTTTTTTTCATAATCTTCAGCAAAATTTTACTTGTATGCGATAGTCACGATATTATTTAATAATTTCCACATTCTCTTGGATCACTTCTTTATAAATGTCTTCCAGTCAGTTACCTGTCTTTCAAATTTCTTGGCATAGACTGGTGAGCACATCCAGGGCCTTACAAATATTGTCCCTTGTTTACAGCACGCTCCCTTCATGAATGATGGATTCCAAGAAGACAAAATCAAGCTAATCTTATTTGCCCTTTATTTCTCTAGTCCATAGGAAGTTGTGCTGTAAACCCAAATGTGATACTTCTTTGGCTTTTGAGTCGACAAGGCAGCTGAAGGGAGACTGGACAATTTCCTCCTATGTAATTTATAGTCGCCAAAAACTGCATGGAGGGTTGGTCAGTTAGGAGTGGATTCTGACTTAACAGTAATGAATGAGCACTAGTTTATAGTAGGAACTCAGTGAATATTAATGGCAGGAGAAAATTTTGTGCTCTGAAAGGGTATTAATGCTTCTTAAATAAAAGGATTAATTTCTTTATTTCTATTTCCACATATAAGATAAAAATTTTCTTTAAGCCAAAGGAATGAGTGGCAAGTCAAAGAACTTCCTTAAGAGTTTACAAATAGATAAAATGTCATTAAGAAAAAAAATAACATTATTGTGATTTATAGTATTTTTTTAAAAAGGTATTTAAAAGTAAAAATATGGCATATGCAAAATTTATAAGATCACAGTGTTTTAAATATATGATTTCTTGAGCATTCTTCTGAGTTGTTTTATCTCAAAGGACAAATAGAACTGACAGTTTATTTTATCAGCAGTTACTTCACATTTGATAAAATGTGGATAAAAATGTCAGAGGTATTGAGATTAGCTCAAGATAGAGCAGAGTTCAGAGCTCTTGTGCTACGAGTTGAAGTCAACTAATTGGCACATAACAACAACAACAACATACTAAATAGTAATTCACATCTAAGTGTTCTAATACACTTTCAATAGGGTTCTCTAATGGCCTAGTGGCAAGAAGCTGCATTGCATTCCCAAAGACACATGGTTCAAATCCACCAGCTGCTCTGCAGAAGGATGGGCAATCTCGTCCCATTCAATTAACTAGCTCTGAAAACCAGATGAAGGGTCAGCTATGGGTCAGTTCTGGCTTGACAGTACATAACAACAACAACAACAACATCAACAACAATACATTTTTTAATAGACACAAAATTTTCTTAAAATCACATTTAAGAGATTACCTGATTTGTAAGGCTTAAAATATAAAACATCTCCAAATGCAACAAGATGTTCCTGTTGAAAAATTACATAATCAGAAAATTAATTATCACAATTACTACTATATTTTTAGTAGGGAAAACAGTTTCCTTTTAAATTTGTATATAACCAGCAGATATATTTAACATATCAGGCAGGAATTACAAATTCTTTTGCCTATGAGGAAGCTTTGGTGGCTCAGTCCAGAGGGAGTTATGTTGCCAGCCCAAAGACCAAGGCTGTTTGGTGATCGGAATCTCCCAGTGGGGGATCTGAGGGAGAAAGACAGTCTCCTCCCATGCAATTTCTAGTCTCAGAAATAGAGAGTCAGCTGTGAGTCAGTTCCTACTCAATAACAATGAAAGATTTTTTTTATTACTTCAAACTTTTATTGTTTTTAAAAAATTATGCTTATGACTAAGATCCCAGATGAAGCTCACAGAAAATCAATGTATTTAGTAGCTTGGGAAACCTATTTAAAAGCATTATCCAAGTAATCTTCCTACTATCTCTTGTGACATTACCTGAATTAGATCACTTGTCATTCTGGTCATTATTTGTTCATTTATTTCAAGATCCTCAAGATCTGTAAGAACCACCCAAGTTCCATTCTCAAATTTCACAGGCATAGAAAAGACAATCCCTTCAGGAATACCAAACTGCCCTGGAGTGAGCAAAACAGAGAACTCAGAAAAAATAAACCACATCTATTAAAGGCAGTCAGATACGCATGTTCACTATTATTATTATTATTGATAGTAATTATCAAATTTAACTTCTAGGACTCAATTAGCAGAGAAGACTGAAACACACAGGCTAGAGAAGGATTTTCCTGGTGGCCTTAGAAACTCATGGGCAGCTCTACTCTGTCCTCCAGGGACATTAACTGACTGTGTGTCAGCTTAATGGCAGGAATCAGTCAGCTTAATGGCAATGGTTCTTGGCTTTCTCACTTGGATATGCTCTTTAAATAGTTTAAGATCTGAAAAACACCCATTTACCTTCACTCAATACTCCTAAAGAAACGATCTCCCCTGGTGGTGAGCCATGGAACCAGTATTTCAACGTAGTGGCTATGCTGTGTGCAGCTAAAATGCCTCCAAATTGCTTCCCTGTGGCTGACAAGTTTTTAAGAGTTGTCACAAACTCTTTGTTTATCCACTCACTGTAGGAGAGAGAACACATTTTATGAGGCAGAAAGGAATGGGAATGGACAAGTGTATTCCTCTGGTCAACAAAGCTGGGTACAGGGGCACATCCACAATCAGAAGATTAACATGGCTCTCTCTTTGCCCTTTCAGAATTTGCTTCAAAACGTCAGGCTGAAAAACATAGTTACATAAATGGGGAACACGGGAAATCGCTCAAAGGTCCAAGGCTGCAGGCACAGTTCTTTTCATAACAGACAGTTTGGTCTACATCTATCATGTTGCGTGATGGAGGGGACTCCCACGCTGGCACAAACAGTTAATCACCTGAATACCACTCATAGGGTTAGCAGTTTGAACTCACGGAGGTGCCTCAGAAGCCATGTCTGTTGGTCTGCTTCTGAAAGGTCACAGCTTTAGAAGCCCTACAAAGCAGTTATATTCTGTACACACACAACATCATGAGTTATAATTGATTAAATGATGACAGACAATAATATATCCTGAAGCAGTCATCATTTTAATAAACTAATCAAGTACTGAATTATTGACATAGATAATTAGAGAAACAACTGTGTTCTTACCATCTGAGATCTAAAGTATCATGCAGGTATTTAATATTGTTAATGTACTTGACTTAAAAATAAACCGTATCAGGTGAGCTCTGGTGGCCTAGTGGCAAGAAGCTGCACTGCAGTCCCAGAGGTGTACGGTTCAAATCCACCAGATGCTCTTCTGGAAAAGGAGGGACAATGCCCTCTTATACCAGTCAAATCTGATTTGATGGTACACACAAAAATGAACCATATCTGTCTATATTCCTTTCTGCACCAAGAGAATCAAGCAGCTGAAAATGGAGCATATACCTCCATAGACACTGCATTAGAGAACTCCATTCAATGCTCCCTACCCAGGCATCAGATGGGCTCAGTGTGCCCCAGATGATGAGGATGGCACAGGATATAACTGCATTCAGATCTATTGCTCACAGGGTTGCTATGAATCATACTCAGTGACCCCTTATGACAACAACATAACTCTAAATGTATAATTTATATGACCCCATTAATATTCCCCACAATCCTGTAAGGCTCATACTGTGTTAACATTTTCATGTCAAGTATGAAAGGTTAACCACAGAGAGGTTAAGTAACTCGTCTAAAGTCACACAGCTATTATGTGGCTAGGTGAGAATCCCAACCCAAGGAGCCTGGCCCAAGAGACCATGCTTCTTCCCATCTCTCAATTCTGCCTGAGCCAGGAGTGGGCACTGGGTGTGGCCTGGGCCTGCTCACCAGCTTAGCTCCTTGTTTCTGGACATTTTTCAATTAATTTCAACTTTGACATACATTTCTAGCTTTACGTTCATTAAGATTCACTTTACTTAAGCCCATTTTAATGAAAATGTAAATGTGATACTACTTTTATGAATGAGTTGAACCACAAAAGACCATGATTTTAAAAAATGAAAAACTGGGGTAGAGATTGACTAGCTGAATAGAATTTTCTGTTTGTTGAATAAATAGAACAGGCAAAAATGAGTATGAGGAATGTAAGTTATGTTTGTGCAAATATTTACAAAATTATTTTAAAGGTTATAGCAACTAGTAGATAGATATTTACTACTAATAGTGTACTTGACTTAAAAATATACTGTACCTATCAAAAATCACATGTAGAACAGGTCGTGCATAGTGAGGAGGCCCCACAATGGCACTCTTATATCTGTAGACAACAGTTTTCCTCAGATCAACATAGTTGTTTCCACTGATATTTCCCCAAATTATCACATTTTTTATTTCTGTAAAGAAAAAGAAAAAATATATACATAATAACACATAAAAATTGCCTGAAACCTTGTTTGTTCATTTTAGGATTGGTCTTTTGGTATAAAATGAATCTACATTTACATTCCCTAAAAATGTACGAGTGATATGGTTAGTCCCCTAATCATCAGGATTTGGCAATTCCTAGGAGTGGATTTGGTAACTCCTGATTCAGACCATGGTCTTTTCAATCACCTGCTATGCATCTGAGAGTTGGGCAATGAATAAGGGTGACAGATGAAGAATTGATGCCTTTGAGTTGCACTGTTGGAGAAAGGTGCTGACTATCCCATGGTCTGTCAAAAGAACAAATATGTCTTGGGAAAAATGCAACCATAGTGCTCCTTGGACGTAAGGATGATGAGGCTCCATCTCTCATACTTTGAACCTATTTCTAGAGGAGGCTGTTCCTGGGAAAGGGAGAGTCAGCATAAGAAAGGAAGACTCCCCAGTGAGATGGATTAAAACAATGACTGCAGAAACGGGTTCAAGTGTGTCAGAGGAGATAAGGATGGCACCAGCAGGACAGCATTCTGGTCTGTTGTTCATAGGGTCGCTATGAATCATACTCGACTCAATGGCAACTAACAACAACAGTAGTGTTCTGTGAAGGGCTATGCATACAAAATGTAATTAAAAGAGTAAGAGAATGTCCCTTGAAAGAATTGCTACTATAAATTACATCGCTGGTGTTGGTCTTAACCTTATATGACAAGAAAGAGAAGTGGAGTGGGCGGCAGGAGGGAGAAGAGAATTAACACGTGCCTTTTGTCTGCATTGGTTTGACGACTGATCTTGTGTCTAGACGGCAGTAAAACACTGGGGGAACTTAATGCTTCCAGTGGGCTTCATCTCCTTAAAGATGAAGTCTGTATAAAAAAGAGCATCCTAAGGAAACCCTAAGAAGATCTAGTGGGTAAGTGAAAGGTGAACAGTTTGAATCCCCCTGCTACTCTGCAGGGGAAAGAAGGGAAGACTCCTTGTAGTGTCTTTTTGGAGGGCTGCTATGAGTCAGTTGACTGAATGATAGTGGGGTTTGGTATCCGAAAGGGACACCTGGTGAACAAGCTGTTACTGAATATCTTCTGGCTGTGAGGCACTTCTGGTGCTTGGTTTCCACTCAGTGTCAGATTACCCAACAAGCAAAGCGAGCTCGAGCTTTCCCGTGTGTAGTCAAGGGAAGTAATGATGTTCACACTTGTTTTCCACCCACCACATCAAATACTCGGTTTCTAAGTTGGGCTGGCAATTATCACATAAAGAAGCCTTCTATGAAGAGTAATAAGAGGACAAAGAAATCGAAGTTTCTGCTTGATAGAGTGCATGAGAATCCATCTCCAAAATAGCTTTGAAAGGAGCTATGTTGGCACAATGGTTAAGGGCTGGGTTTCTTTTTTTTTTAAATTTTAATTTAGTTTATTTTTCATTTCAATGAACATCTACAGAGATTTTGGAATTCCATTCATTCATTGTTGCACCCTTCTCCCCGCACAAACCCCTCCCCCCACCCCCCAGTTTGCTCCTCTCCTTGAAAAGCAAAAGAACAACTCCCTCATTGGTACACAATCCCCCCCCGCACCTCCCCAAACCCCACCTCCTACCCCCAAATATAATCCACTCTGCAACCCTCATTGCGTACTCCTACGATAAAAATAATGCCCTAAAATATAATACTTTTAGACTATTCTCTCCCCCATAGACTTCAATGCCGTAAACATATTTCATCCAGTTTTTCTCAGTCTTACCCCCACCCCAATGCCAGAAGGGCTGGGTTTCTAACTGAAAGGTCATTGGTTCAAAACAGTTTTGATGCATTGATTACTAATGACCAGGGGTTTAGTTCTTTGGAAAATATCTGATACTAGAATGGAAAGAATTGTGTTCCTCTAAAGTATATGCTGACACCCTAAACCCTGAACCTGAGAATTTATGCTTGAGGAGAGAGAATTGACTGATTATTTTTTGCAGATGATGTTTGTGAAGTGAATGAAGTCACATCAAAATTTTGTTAAGTGCCATCAAGTCGTAGGCAACTCATGAAAAAAAGACCTGGACACCTGTATAACTTTCGTCCTTTCTCCAGGTTCATAGGGTTTCTAGAGGCAAGGTATTTCAGAAGTGGATGCCACTCCTGCTTTGAAGAGATGCATTTTTATCTCCAACTTTGCAAAGAGAAGGACAGACACAGAAACAGAGTCGCAGGCAGGGTGAAGATGGCATGTCTACTAGCCGAGGAATGCCGAGAAGTGCCCTGGGCTACCGGAAGCCAAAAGGAAGGACATGAATGAGATCACAGCCCTGGCAGCACCTTGACCTGCATTTCTACTCTCCAGAATCATGAGAAAGTAGATTTGCATTTTAAAGGGTACACTTTGTGATATTCCTTTGAGCATTACATGAGGACCAAAATAAGATGCGCACCATTAGCTCATTTCTGCCTTTTTTTGCTACTTCACTGACAACTCTGTCCTTCTAAAACCTTTTCTTTTACCAAACCTTCCTCCACTTTTTTCTTTCCTTTCCTGCTTCTTAGATTTTTCTTGGCTTGGAGTAGAGCTGGGTTTAGATTTTAAGGTGCTGGCTGATCCCCAAGACAGCAGCTTCCTCGTTGAAAACCCCTTGACCCTCCTCATGCCCTTAAACTTTTGTGTCACTTCTTCTTCTTAACACTTTTCATCAGTGTGTCTATCACCTTTTGTGGTACATGGGTGCTGACATGTGTAAATGAAAGGTAGGCAACAGAGATACAATAATCAGGAATGTTTTCGTTTCTATTAAGTAACGTTAGCATCCATTTGCCAAGTCTGGGCCCTGCAATAAGACACTAATGCTTTATATGCAAGAAATCAATACATTCTTCTTTCGAGGCTTTCTTTATAAAAAAAAGAAATGCTCTAGTTCTTGCTAGTCTCTTTAGGGGCTCACTAAGTTCCACTCCCCTGATTCAGTGCATTAGAGGTTCATATTGCAAATTTTCCTTGAAGAAATGCCCTACACCTCCTTGCCTTCCCAGTGGACGCTGATCTATCAGCTCCTTCTAAGGACACAAACTGCTAAAATATATTAGCTGCAAGCTCTCTTATTCAGTACCACAATCCATTTTCTCATCAAGTCTCATCCTTGTGACTCTCATGTCCATAGAAGATTAATAGAAGCAGAAACGGATGGATATCACAATCCAAGTGGATATTTAATAACTTCTCAAAGTCTCATCAAGTGCTGGCCAATCTTCATTGAGATACTTTAGAAATAATAATATTGTTATTGTTGTTGTTATGTGCCACTGAGTCACCTGCAACTCATAGTGACCCCTATGTCCTATCCTAAGCCAATCTCACTGCCTCTAACATATCTACCCCATTATTCTAGTTACTGTATCAATCCATCTCATCCAGGGTCTTCCTCTCCTGTGTTGTCCTTACACCCTTCTGAGCATGATGGCCTTTTCCAAGGACTGATCCCCTCTAGCACCATGCCCCAAGTATGTGAGAAAGAGCATCAAAATTCTAGCCTCCAAGGAGAAACTTGGTTTCACCCTCTTCAGGACAAACCTGTTTCTTCCCTTGGCAACTCAAAGGCATCAATTCTTCTTCTATCATTCTTAGTCTGGTTAATATCCTTATTGTAATATGAGGAAACCAGGGCACAGCAAGGCGGTATAATTGTTTAGGGTCACATGTGTGAGAAGAGGACTGGGGCCACTTTTTTCACAGCCCTGCTGTATGTTTTAAAAACCATTGACATCTTTGCTGTTATTGTCACAGGAGAAGAAAAATAATACCCTTCAAATGGTTCCTTTAATAGCAGAGCACTTATTATAGTAAATATTTTGTTTCCTAATTTTTGCATTTTAGGTTATATGTTGGAACTGTATTCTTAATTATGAATGAAAAACCATTCTTCTTCAGTTGTTCACTCCCAGTGCTATAGATTATATGACTGACTGATTCAAAATGGCCCATTCCATTCCACGTTAGTTCACTAATGCCTAGAATATCAATCTTCATGCATTCACTACATTTTTGACAACTTCATGATACATGGAGAAAAGACTGAAGCTGTCAATGATCTCATCTTACTTGGATCAACAATCAACACCCTTGGTACCAGAAGTCAGGAAAGCAGGAAATGTATTGCACTGGGCAAGTCTGCTATGAGGAGTTTCCCCAAAATACTGATAGGCAATGATGTCAGTTTGAAGACTAAGTTGTGCCTGATTCAGGCCATGTTCTTTTCAATCAGTTGCTACAAGTCTGAAAGCTGGACTATGAATAAGCATGACAGTAGAAAAACTGATGTCTTTGACTGCTAGTGTTGGAGAAAATATTCCATGGACTGCCAAAAGAACAAACAGATATCACTTATAGAAGGTGCAACCAGAGTGCTTCTGGAGGCAAAGACGGTGAAGCTTCACTCTCATACTCTGAACATGTTGCTAGGAAAGTCTAGTCCTTGGAAAGGAATATTTCATGTTTGAAGTGGTATCAGCAAAGATAAGAAGACATGAGGGACTGATGCAGTGAATTCTGCAATGGGCTCACGTGTGTCAGAGAAGATAAAAATGGCACAGGATAGGGCAGAATTCAGGTCTGTTCTTGATAGAGTCCCTATGAGTTGTACTTGACTCAATAGCACCTAACAACAACAACAATGTTTGCAACTATGGGCACAATTAGTAAACCATAAAATCCAGTTAAAAATGTTTGCAAAGTACTTAAATCACACAATTTAATGTTTTGTCTTGACACCCGCTTCCTATTTCCAGATATACAGAATAATTACAAAGGATTCAATTTTCCCAGATGTTTGGTTGTGGTTTTTTTAAAAGCCGTTTTTAAAATTGGTTTTTAACGCGTTGCTGCACACTTTTAAATTGACATCCTTGCTTAGAAACACATTTTACCGTCATTTGCAGCAACGTAAACAGTCATCCATATACATTGTGCTTCATTCATATACATTGTATATTCTACTCATTCATACACTTTTTGCTTTATATAATTACTATTGACCTTTTTAGAATTCATGAACATTGTGCTTTATACACTCATTCAGATCCCTGGGTTTTATGTGATTATCATTTCCCTCTTCCCCTTCTCCTTCCCCTTTTCTCCCCTCCTCCTTCTGTATATATTGTTCCTATTTGCTAATCAAAAGGGCCAAACTCACTCAGTGTTCCTTAAGCTGAAGGAGCTGAAAAACAAATTCAAGCCATGAGTGACAATACTTAAGGATCCTTTGGACAGAATGTTAAACAATCCAGGAAGTATCAAGAGAAGATGGAAGGAGTACACAGAGTCACTGTACCAGAAGGAATTGGCTGACACAGAATTTCATGAAATAACATATGAGCAAGAGCCTATGGTGATGAAGGAGGAAGTTCAAGTTGCTCTGAAGGAATTGGCAAAAAACAAGGCTCCAGGAGTTGACAGCATACCAATTGATTTATTTCAACAAACAGACACTGCCCTGGATGTGCTCACTAAGTTGTGCCAGGAAATCTGGAGGAAGCCAGCTGGCCAACTGACTGGAAGAGATCGATATTTGTTCCCATTCCAAAGAAAGGTGACCCAACAGAGTGCGGAAATTATCAAACAATATCATTAATATCACATGCAAGAAAGATTCTGCTGAAAATTATCCAAAAGCATTTAGAACAATATGTCAACAGAGAATTGCCAAATGTGCAGGCTGAATTTAAAAGAGGTCATGGTACTAGAGATATTATAACTAATGTTAGATGGATCTTGGCAGAAAGCAAAGAATACCAGAAGAACATCTATCTGTGCTTCATTGACTATGCAAAGGCTTTTGACTGTGTGGATCACAAAAAGCTGTGGCTGACTCTGAGAAGAATGGGAATCCCAGAATATTTGATTGTGTTAATGTGAAACCTATACCTGGACCAAGAGGCAGTGGTCAGAACAGAGCAAGGAGACACTACATGGTTCAAAGTTAAGAAGGGGGTCCATCAAGGATGTATCCTGTCTCCATACCTTTTCAATCTGTATGCAGAACAGATCATCTGAGATGCTGGTCTGTACAAGGAGGAATGTGGCATGAGGATTGGTGGAAGAGTCATCGACAACCTGTGTTATGCAGATGACAAAACCCTGCTTGCTGAAACTGAGAAAGGCCTGAAGTGCTTGCTGCAGAAGGTCAAGGACTGCAGCCTTCTATATGGATTGAAGCTCAACATCAAGAAAACAAAGATTCTCACCACTGGACCAATTGGCAGCATCAGTATGGATGGTGAAGAGATTGAGATAGTTAACAGTCTTAGTTTACTTGGCTCCATAGTCAACACTCTTGGTAACAGCAGCAAGGAAATCAAGAGATGAACTGCATTGGGAAAGTCAGCTGTGAGGGACCTCTCAAGAGTAATGAAGAGCAATGATGTCAGGCTGGAGACTATGGTGCGCCTGATCCGGGCTATAGTCTTCACAATTACATGCCAGAGTCAGAGAGTTGGATAGGATGAGTGAATAGGGTTGATAGAAAGAGAATTGATGCCTTTGAGCTGTGGGACTGGAGAAGAGTGTTGAAAATACCATGGTCTGCTAGGAGAACAAATAGATTTGTCCTGGAGAAGGTGAAGCCAGAATGCTCCTTGGAGTCAAAGACTCTGAAGCTTTGTCTGACATACTTTGGGCATATTGCAAGGAGGGAGGGTCCTTGGAGTGGGACATCATGTTTGGCAGGGTAGAGGGGCAGCGCAGGAGAGGAAGACCTTCGATGAGATGGGATAGATTCTGTGACTGAAGTGGAGGGAATGAGTACATTTGAGATGGCTAGGTTGGCACAGGATAGAACGGCATTTAGGGCTCTTGTATACAGGGTCGTTATGAGTTGCAAGCGACTCGATGGCACATAACAACAACAACAACAACATTTGCTAATTGCTATTGCCAGATTATCCTTTCCCAGGTTGATCCTTTCTTGCTGTTCCAAAGCTGTTTGGTTTAAAACAAAAGTACTGGGAATTTACTCACCTGAAGGCGTTGTTTTCATTTTTCTGGCCAGCATAGCTCTCGCTTGCCCTTCTACTCCCAACGCCACGGCGATAATGTTGTGTGCGATGCTCGGGGAGTATCTTATCAGCAAGGATGTTTTGAGATTCACGAAGGTTTTCCCTCCCACAACAACCCTGACGGACTCGTGGGCGTTTTTCTCAATCAGGCGTGCGTACTGCCTGCACAGAGGAACGTTGCTCCGGATGCAGTCTTCCAGGCTGAGCACCTCCCTCCCCACTGGCTCGTCCAGGAGGATGATCACGTGCGCTTGAAGGAAGGCCTTCTCCACCTGTGTGCAGATGGTGATGTCCTGCAGCACTGGAGACAACAGGTCCTGGGCCTCCAGCAGAATGGTGGTCAGGTACTCTCTGTCCTCATTGCTAAACAGAGATATGCTAATTTCTGTATGCTTCCCAAACACCTCCCCGCTTGCCAACAAGGGAATCAGGTTGTAGCTGGTAGAAGTCGATGCACTAATTAAAAAAAAAAAAAAGCAAACCTGGGTTATAAATATGATTATAAATATGACCCCTTTAACTTTTATTCTTAGCCGACAAGTTTGCTTGTGCACTAATTACATGGATGTTTAAAATCAGCATGCACAGCTGCAGGGATACTGTGAAGGCAAGAAAAGTAGAAGGAAAAAAAATTCTCATTACTAACCTCTGAAATGATCCCAAATACAAAGACATGTCCTTATCTAGGTTTTCAAATAAATGGAATTTTCTATAGGCTTCAACAGCTTCTGTGTACTATTTGAACTTTTAAAAAAGACTACCTGAAGAGTGGAAAATCAAACTCATTGCCATTGACCTGGTGCCAACCCCCAGCTGCCCTTCCACTGGCTTCCCAAGGCTGTACAACCTCTGGGAGGAGACTGCCCATCTTTCTCCCTTGGAGCTCCTGGTGGATTTGAACCACCAGAGAGGCATGACTTTGGGGTTAGCAGCTCAACTCCCTGCAGACTACACCACCAGAGCTCGTGCCCTATATAAAAATATATAACACTAGGGTAGTATTTAGTGAGTCTCAGTGGTAGCTTCGTGGATGCTTATTGCATGGTTCTCAATTCTTTTGTGTATTTGGAGTGTTTAAAAATAAACTATTTTTAAAGAGTGTCTCTACTAAGTATAATGGGATTGACCATCAACATTAATAGAAGCAGCAGTCAGTAAATCAAACAATGTATTACACTGAGAAAATCTGCTATCAAGGGCTTCAGTAAAGTGCTAAAAAGCAAGGATGTCACTCACAAGACTAAGATGCCCTTGACCTAAGCCATGGTATTTTCAATCGGCTCATACGCATGTGAAAACTGGACAGTGAAGAAGGAAAACCAAAGAAAAACAGATGCCTTGGAATCACGGTGTTGGTGAAGAATATGCCATAGACTGTCAGAAAAACAAACCAATCTGTGTTGGACGAAGTGCAGCCAACGCGTAGTGTAGAAGGAAAGATGGTAGACTTCACTTGACATACTCTGGGCAGATTATCAAGAAGGACCGACCCCTGAAGAAGCACATGATGCTGGGAAAAACAGGGTCAGCAAAGGAGAGGAGGAGCCTCCATGAGATGGGTTGACACAGTGACTGCAGCAATGGGTTCAAGCACAGCCAAGGTTGTGGGGATGACACAGGATCAGGCAGGGCTTTGCTCTGTTCATCTGAGGGTTGAGAAGCTCAACGGCATCTAATGACAACACAAACAAGATGATATATACACACTCAGTGAGGAGGGTGCTGTGAGAGACAGACGGAAAGCAGGAGAAAGGGAAGGACATGGGAAGAGAGCGGTGAGCAAGGAGAGAAAATGTGACCGCTGAACGTGTTTAAGGCGTAGAGCAAAAGGGGGACAAAATGAGAAGAAAATACAAAGAGTCAGACGTACAAGGAGAGTTACAAAGAACAAGTGCCCAAGAGATAAGGAAAGTTCTAGCAAGTGGGAAAGAAGGCAAGGGAAACCGTGAGAGGCAGGGGAAAGGAAGGACAGAGCAGGGACCAAGGCAAAGAGTGGGGGAGCGGGGAGAGTGACAGAGGGCATGAGACATAGAAGTAATGGCTCATCGTCCACAGTGAACAGGTTCCAGGCAAACACAGTGTACAATCGTGTTGCCTGTTAGAGACACACTGGTACAGATCTCAACCTCAAGATATTATTCTGCATTGGAATTAGCATAAGCCTACTTCACTGTGCTGCTTAAAGCAATTTCATGAATCCAGGGGCTTGACCATCCCACCTGGTGATCCATATCTTCAGGGGGCTGCTGGGTCCTTTCAGCGATTTCTCCTCCAGCTCGGTTTCTATGTGTGTCTCCAGGTTTTCTTTAGCAACCATCAGCATCAGTTCACTCGTCATGTTCGAGGTGACGCCATAGTAAAGCTCAATGTTGCGAAAGGAAAAGGCAGGTGAGAGAATGGGGAGTTATCCACAGCCGCTGCACTAGAAAGTTTTTCTTTAAAAGGTAAAATAGAGTAAAAGGAGCACTGAAGAAAACCTTGAAAAACAAGACACTTGGGAAAGGAAATAATGTGGCAGAGTTCCAGGATTCTGAACAGGTAAAAACCATTCCTGTTACCTGCGCGTGCTCCAGGAACTCATTGTAGCCTCCTAAAAGTACACCCTTTCCTCCACGATCCACCAGCTCTCTCCAGATGATGGGGGACTTCTTGTGATTCCACTTATTCTTCTCACATATATTTTTAAGCCATTCCTATTGAAGGACATTCCAATGAAGTCATATATTAAATCTGCCTCAACAAATTTGTTATTTTAGTTCTACTAGAAAACAAATAGATTCATCCGAGAGAGGGTTAAATCAGGCTGCTCCTTGGAGGCAAGGATTCTGGGGCTTCGCCTGACATACTTTGGACTTGTTCTAAGGAGAGACAGGTCTTTGGAGAGGGACATCATGCTGGGCAGAGTGGAGGGACAGCGCAGGAGGGGAAGACCCTCTATGAGGTGGATTGATTCAGTGACTGGGGTAATCGGGATGGATGTGTCAGAGGCAATGAGATTGGCACAGGATAGAGCAGGGTTTAGGGCTGTTGTCCATAGAGTCGCTATGAGTCGCAAGCGACTCGACGGCACATAACAACAAAAACAATGTAGGCATAATAAAATTTAGCTATCCTTACAAAGTAGACTCTAAAATGAAAAACTGATTGATTAATTGAGTAAAATATGTGCTTTCTTTTTTTACAATTTTATTATTTTCTGTGTGTGTGTTCCATCAAATTGGATCTGACTGGTACCGGAGGAGATAGCCCCTGCTTCTCCCGCAGAGCATCTGGTGGATTCCAACCACATATCTCTGGGATTGCAGTGCAGCTTCTTGCCACTAGGCCACCAGAGCTCCCCTAAAAATGTGCTTTCTATTCATTCACCAAATCAAGGCACTGAAAGGAAGTGCTCTTGTGCAAATATTTACAAAGAGGCCAAGTGACTGGGTTTGATTGATTTAAAAATGAACTTTCCCCCTTTCCCCTCATTCTTGTATATGCCAGACTGAGAACCACTAACGTTTTAATACTGCATTTCAGATCCTTGGATTAGGTTTTCTATCCATCAGATTAATGAGCTACAAGCGATCTGGAGGGCGCTCTGGTTGCGTGATCCGTAGGGAGTGGTGCTGATAACTAAAGGCAGCTCCTCTCTGGCCGTTCAGAGCTGCCAGCAGTTCCCTAGGTGAAAGAGAGGCGATTTCTCCTCACGTGACGTGGAGCGCTCTGGAGGGTCAGCTTTGAGTAGGTTTCAACATGATGGCAATGAGTGTTTTGAGCGACATAATATGAGGTTTTCTGATTATATTGATTAGGGAAAACATCACCTTGATATCTAGTCTCTATCAACTATAACATGGGATCCCAACTAATGCCACTTTGTACCAAGAGACCCACGTTTCAGAAATAAAGGTTCAGCAGTTTGCCCATGACTATGGGATTCACAGGGAACTCAGGTGGTCTGGTGGTAAGAAACTACACCGCAATCCCAAAGGTGTATAGCTCGAAACCACCAGCTGCTCTGCGGGAGAAGGATGGACAGTCTCTTCCTGTGTGACTGACTGTCTCTGAAAACCCAGGGGGAGGGTCAGCAGTGGGTTGGTTCCAACTCATTGTACACAATAACATGGGGTCCGCTGGGCTTACTGTGTTTTGCTCCGCCCTGGACCTGTCAGGCTGGTTGAGGAATGGAACAAACCCACTCAAGGTACACCTGGGGTTAGGTTTATATCATACAGATGTACTAGCTCAAAACCGGACACCTTGCAAAGCACTTTTCAGCCTGTAAATCTACATCCTAAATCATTATGGTGCTTAATGCAAAATATATAGATCCAAGAATTAAGAGTGATTCCAATTATCATCACTCCCAATAACCAACTTGCGGGAGTTTGAACTTCTAAACTAGACTTTATATCTGGGAAATCCTATTTCCAGAGGTGAAAGGTTTCTGCCAGGGACACAGGATGAATCCCATTAAGATATAAGCTATGGTTTTCATTCTGCTACTCTGACCTCCTTGCAAAGCAGAAAAGTCAGTGTCCTATCAATTGATCTGATAATGGGGATCGTGTGAGTGAGAGCCACCCAGTGCAGACTGAGGGGGCTACCAGGCATCCTGAAGGTGATTCTTCGGGTATTTCTTGCCTCATCTTGACAACAGTTAACTAAGTGCAGTGGTCACACCCTGAAAAGAGAGTGGAATTTAGGGCTCAGTCACCATATAGATGTAAGTCTTGGTCACTAGGTCTGGGATAGTCACCTATACCAGAAGAGGGTGAGGGCATGCTAGAAGAAACAGATGAGAAAAAAGATGGTGTTAGTGCAGTCTTGAGAGTATCTGCAGGGAAGGCCAAAATTCATTTCACTAGTACTCATTCCTCTTAAAAGATTTCTCCAAGTGAAAATGGCAACCAGAATCACGGAGGTGTGATGTGAACTTGTTCTATGGAGCGTGTGGACCCAGAAGGCTCAATGGATGGGCTATAGCAGATGCGGTCACCTGCAGACCGGACTCCCCCTGCATAAGTGAGGTGCTCATTCCCTCTGCCACAGGATGGACTGGCTGCTTAGGACTCCACCGCTCTGAAGGAATTTCTTTCAGTGAGGAGGCCTTCTCTCATCTCAGGTGAAGTCCTCTCCCAGAATCAGCCCACTTCCAGACCCCTTGTTCAGTGTGGGACATATTTGAAGGGATACTGCAGATTCCGTGGGATTCACTGAGGCCTCTGGTCAGCTTTTCTGCCTCATCTCGTTTCACACTCCCCAGTAAACCTCCTTCAATCAAATGTCTGTCTCAGTCTATTTCTAGAGGAACACAGGTCCAGAGAAGGAACTGCAAATAAACAAGTTACTAACATCTATATGAATCAATAATGATGTTTTTGTATAATGTAAGTTATTTAGATTCCTGTGGGGTGAGAAGTTAGCCAAATCAAACCTCCTTACTGGTTAGGGCCTCATTTATTTTAGTAGGTATTGTGGGGGACTTGGAGGAAGGAGGAACAAATAAAGCAAACGTATAGAAATGATGTTTTGAAACTAGTAAATAGGCACTTGAATTTTTAAGTATGCAACTATCGGTACTACATGAATAATGAATATTCATTACTGGAAGCCAATCTGTAGTATTTCTTACCTCCCAGGCATCAGGATGCTGTGTAATTTTATGTACTCTGAAATCAGGAAGATTCTTCTGTAAATAGTCTGCCAGAAGTTCCACTTTAGCATAAAATGGACAGTCTGCTCTACCTAGAAGAGTTCAAATTAGTCATGCTTCCTTTCATCACACAGAAATTATTAAAAGGTGTCATATTGTGATAGAAATAGTCATGGCTGCAACAATGAATGAATGGAAACCCAAAATCTCTGTAAATGTTTATGAAAATTAATAAAATATAATTATAGAAAAAAAAAGAAATAGTCATGGCACACTAAGATATACTTTTCTATCTCATAATATACAGTAATTACTGCACATATATAATATACAATGCAATTGACTGATCAGACAGCTGGACAATAACCACAGGGTACAGAAAAATTGATGCCTTTGAGTTGTAGTGCCGGAGAAGAGTAATGAACAGACTATGACTGCTAAGAGAACTAACAGGTATGTCCAGGAGAGGTTGAAGCCAGGCTGCTCCTTGGAGGGAATGATTTTGAGGATCTGTCTCACATACTTTGGGTATGTTGCCAGGAGGGAACAGTCCTCGGAGAAGAACAACATGCTTAGAAGGGTGGAGGGGGTGCAACCACTGTGGTGGGTGGTGTGGCACTTTCTCAAAAAGTTGCAAATAGAGATACCATTCGACCCAGCAATTCCAGTACTGGGAATATACCCCAAAGAGACCATAACTGACATCCAAGCAGATATATGCACCCCCATGTTTATCGCGGCTTTGTTCACAATAGCAAGGAGTTGGAAACAACCTAAGTGCCCATCAAAAATGAAGGGATAGAGAAGCTGTGGTATATTCACATGATGGAATACTATGCTGCATTGAAAAACAAGGAACTAATGAAATATTATTCAAAATTGGAGGACATTATGCTGAGGGAAGTATCTTAGTCAGAAAAGGACAAATACTGCATGGTGCCACTGTTGTAAAGCAGGACTGACCTTGGGGTTGGGAGAAGACTGAGAAGATTGGGTTCAATGATGTATACTGCATTGAAACAGATGAGGGAGAAAACTGTTTAAGAGGGAAAATTGTTAGGTATTTTTGTCATGACAGGAATCCAGAGTGAAGGCTGCATAGTGGAGTGGATCTCAGGGGAGGGACTGTAAAACAATGAAAGAATTTTTCTTTTCCCTTTCCAAGAGGGTAGTGTACTAGGAGGGTGGGGTGGGAGGGGAGAAAAGTGCAACAATGAATGAATGGAAATCCAAAGTCTCTATAAATTTTCAGTGAAATTAATAAGAATTTTTTTAAATGTAAAAAAAAAAAGAATGTCACACTTAATAATAAAAAAAAAGAAGGGTGGAGGGATAGCATAGGAAAGGAAGACACCAGATGAGATGGATTGACAGTAAATGGGGTAATGAGGGTAGGTGTGGCAGGGACAGTAAGATTGGCACAGGATAGAGCAGAGTTTAGAGCTCTTGTGGATAGGGTCCCTGAGTCGTGGTTGACTCGATGGCATTTAACAACAACTTTATGCGATAGTATGATCCTGTAGCCACATAAACTTTTGCTCTTTATTACATTGATTAAAAAAAATTTCATAGGTAGTCAAAACTTTGTTGTTGTTGTTGTTTACTGTTGAGTCGAGCATGACTCATAGAGACCCTATGAACAAAAGGCCTGAAGCCTTTCTATAACTATCGTCGTTTCTCCAAGTTCATAGAGTTTCCATAGGCATGTGGTTTAGAAAGTGTATGCTACTCCTGCTTCCTAACCTGTTTTACACTGGGAGCTCCACCAAACACTGTCCACCATGGGCAGCCATTATGGCATTTGACCGCCAATGGCACAAGGTTTGCATCACAGCAAACAGATTACTTCTGCACAGCAAATTGACAGAGGAGTGCTGTATAATTTAGAAGAATGTTTCTCCAAAATAAAATAACACTAGACCCTTGGGCCCAACAAAATAAAAGGCCTGAAGCCTGAGCCTTTCTATAATTATCTTCATTACTCCAAGTTCATAGAGTTTCCAGAGGTATGTGGTTTAGGAAGTGGATGTCACTCCTGCTTCCAAACCTGAATCAGTCTTGAGGCGATCTGGAAACTCCACTGAACACTGCCCACGATGGGTAGCCATTATGGTGTTTGGCACACCTCTGGCACAGTTGTTCCATTATGGCATTTGAAACCCAAATGGTATAAGATTCAGTGTCAGAGCAAACCCAGATTATTTAAATAGACCAGAGTGCTGTATGATTTAGAAGAATGTCCCTTCAAAATATAGTAACAAGGAATTAAAATATAATCCCTCAGGCCCAATTTTAAATATAAGCCCCCCTCAAGAAGTCTTGTTGACGCTAAGCGAGAGACTTAAATTAAAAAAAAACCCAAACAATCCACACAGATCCTCAACCAAAACGAGAGCACCAATCTACAGAGTCCAGCTACTTAATCTAACTCCAATATGGAGGCAAGGGCTTTGGTGATATATGTTGTTGTTAAGTGCCATCTAGTGACAAACCTATAAACAAAAGAACTGTCATCCTTCCTCTAAGTTAATAGAGTTTTCACAGGAATGTTTAGGAAGTGGATGCCACTCCTGCTTCTAAGCCTGTCTTAATCAGTGAGCTGTACCAAACATTATCAATCACGTGTAACCATTGTGGCATGATAGCACACCATTCACTATCATAGCAAATCCAAAGTTACCTCAATGCAGAGAAAGGACAGAACAGTGTTGTACCACTTGGGAGAATGTTCATCTCAAAGACAATTAAAACCAGGCCTGAGGTCCACATGCTTGTGAGCCCAAATGAATTTTCAAAGACTCCAGGCCTGCATCCTGGGCTCTCACTGGCCAAGAAAGAGGCTTCCAGGCAACTAAACACTTCAGAGCCAGTCCCCAGCCAGCACAGAGAAAAAACCCAACGACTCACTTCTCTAAAGGCCACATGAGTTTCCAAGCACCCCAAATGAATTTTTAAAGACCGCAGGCCTGTACCCTGGTCAAAACTTTAGGTAATAAAATGTGGACTGGTGCAGGGCAGAAAATAAAGAATATTTACTCTCTTCTGGTAGGTACTATACTAGATTTAACTTCCTGTGTTGTAATCTACTACTAACACAATATGAAGAACTAACTACAAACCACCAGCAGTCAGAAAATGAAAAGATGACTTGTATTGGGAAAATCTGCTGTCATGGACCTCTCCAGAGTGCTGAAGAGCACAATGATGTCAATCTAGATACAAAGATATGCCTAATCCAGGCCATGGTCTTCACAATTACTTGTTATTCTTCAGAGAGTTGAACAATGATTAAGGATGACAGAAGGAGATTAGATGCCTTCGACTTGTGGTACTGAAGAAGAGTCTTGAACATACCATGGACTGCCAAGAAAACAAATAGGCCTTTCTTGGAGAGGGTGAAACCAAGTCCTTCCTTGGAGGCTAGGCTTTTGAAGCTTTGGTCATGGTGCCAGGAGAGATTGCTCCTTGGAGAAAGACATCATGCTCAGAAGAGTGGATGATCAGCACAAGAGAGGAAGACCTCAGATGCAGTAACTGGGGCAATGGGGTTTGGTGTGTCAGAATTAGTGAGACTGGCTTAGGACGGGGAAGGGTTCAGAGCTGCTGTACATAGGGTCGCTATAAATCGCAGATGACTCAATGGCACATAACAACAATAACGTACTATTAACAGTTTTGGAAGCAGGAATGGCATCCACTTCCTAAATAATTTGCTTCTGGAAATTCTATGAACTTCAATAAATGCAGATAGTTGTAGAGGGGCTTTGGGCCTTTTGTTCATAGGGTCACTATGAGTCATACTGGACTCAAAGGCAATCAACAACAACAACTACAAACCCCTCATTTCCCACTACCCTTGAGTTGATTCTGACTCACATCATATAATCCCTCTAAAGAGTTTTCAAGCTGTAAACTTTTTTAAAATTTGTGATTTTAACAAAAGTTTACAGCAAAGTTGGCTTTTTATTGTTGCACATTTTCCTCCATCACCCATCCCCCAGTTTACTTTTTTTTTTTTTAAATATTCATTCATTGTTGCCCAATTTCCTCCCACCACCTCCCTCAGTCTATTTTACAGTACACCTCTTATTCTGGACTATTGCAATACATGTAATGCCTAATCATATAATCCTTTTAAACAGTTCTTCCTCTCATATGTTCCAATGCAACATTCATTATCTACCTACTCTTTTCTTAGTTTCCTCCCAATCCCCCATGTTAGTCCTGCTATATAACAGTGGTATTAGGAGTATTTGTCCTTTTATGACTGAGATATTTTGCTCAGCATAATGTCCTCCAGGCTCACCAATGTTGTGTAATGTTTTAAGAGCTCATAGTTTTTCAGTGATGCATAGTATTCCATTTTCTGAATATGCCAGAGTTTTTCTATCCTTTTCTTTGGTGAAGGGAACTTAGGTTGCTTCCATCTCTTTGCTATTGTGAATAACACAACAATAAACATGGGTGTGCATACATCTGTTTGGGTGGTGGTTTTGGTTTCTTTAGGGTATCTTCCTAGTAGTGGAATTACTGGTCAAATGGTATTTCTATTTCCAACTTCTTGTGAAAGCGCCAGACCTCCTTCCATAGTGGTTGCACCATTTTACACTCCCACCAGCAGTGAAGTTGGGTTCTAATCTTTCCACAAATCTTGTCAGCATTTGTTGTTTGCTGATTTGTTGAACTTTGCTATTGTTACTGGCCTCAAGCTATAAATCCTTATGCAAATAAACAGCTGTATCTTTCTGGCCCAGAGCAGTTGGCAGACTGGAACAATAGTTGTTCCTGTAGCCATGCAATGTGTAATTCTCTGTGCCACTGGGACTCCTGAACTGCTTGCTGTTGTTGCTCTAAGCCACCTAGTTGGGAAGGGCCCATAGCTAACTCTCCAGTGGGTTTTCAGAGGCAGTAATTGCCCTTCTTTCTTCTGTAGAACAGCTGTCGGGTTTGACGGTGTACCTTTGGGATTGTAAGGCAGCTTCTTACCAGTGGGCCACCAGTTTTATTCTGACACAAAGGGAGTTGCCATGTGCTGGAATCTACTTGAAGGAATGGTTGGTTCTCCGTGTATCACAGATAATAAGGATGCTTACGATATATTTTATCAGTGCTCTCCCATCAGATCTGCTGCTCTTCCTACCTTCTTTCTGCCCCTCAATGACACGAATTACTCAAATAACCATTTGAAAAATAATTTTTCACTTCTTTTTCTTCCTTTCATATCTTCCACCCACCAGGATTTGTGGTGGTGGTTGATGTTGTCAAGTACGATTCATAACAATCCTATGAATAACCAATATGAACCTTGTGCTGGTCTGTGCCATCCTCACAATCCCTGATACACTAAAGCCTGTTACTGCAGTCACTGTGTCAACCCACCCATTGACAGTCTTCCTCTCCTTTACTGTCCCTCTACCTTCCCAAGCGTGATGTCCCTTTCCAAGAAACAGCCTCACCTAGCAACATGCCCAAATTATGTGAGACAAAGTTTCATCATCTTTGCCTCCAAGGAACTCTCTAACTGCACCTTCTGCAAGACATATTTGTTTATTCTTTTAGCAGACCATGGGATATTCAGCACTCTTCTCCAACATCAGAGTTTGAAGGCATCAGTTCTTCTTCTGTCATCCTTATTCACTTTCTGGCTCTCACATGCATAGCAAGTCACTGGAAAGGCCAGAACCTGAATCAGGTATACCTGAGTTTTCAAAATGACATCATTGTTCCTCAGTAATTTGGAGAGGTCCATGACTATGGAATTTCTCAGTGCAATACATCTCCAGATCTCCTGGCTGCTGGTACTAAGTGTATTGACTGTGGAGCCAAATAAGATGAAGTCATTGACAGTCTCAATCCTTTCTCTATCCATCATGATGTTGCCTGTTGGTCCAGTGGTGAGAACGTTTGTTTTATTGACATTGAGTTAAAATCCATATTGAAGGGTTGGACACCCACTTGAATAGCTAGTCCATTTTTGCCTCTTTCATATCTCTCCAATACAGTCATTTCTCTCTGCACTCAATGGTCTGCTACCAGCTACCCCAATGTACCATTAGCACCTTCATGGACCATATTTACAGTCTTCTTATTGTTCTTTTTGTATCCTCTCTTTCTCTCCCATGCTATAGCCATAACATCTTGACAAAAGCAAATTTGATGATTTTCTTCCCTATCAAAAGTTTTCCATGAACTTGGGATAATGTCTAAACTATTTGACTTAAGAAAAATCTGTATTACTTAATCTGGTCTCCACTGTGACTCTCTTTCTTGCACTCTTTGCTTTTGTCCTACTCAGTTTATATAAATTCTTTTCTTATTGTAGACTCTCACTAATCACTAAACTAACTCTCCTCACTCACTCCAGTCCTACTACCTGCCAGTATGCCCACATTTTTCTCATACCCACACCCCAACTTCTCTTTCTCATCTTTTAGTTCTTTGCTTAAAAATAATTTCATCACTCTTATATACTGTTGGTGGGATTGCAAAATGGTGCAACCACTCTGGAAGGCAGTTTGGCATTTCCTCAAAAAGCTGAACATAGAAATCCCATAAGACCCAGTTATTCCACTGCTTGTAATATACCCTGAAAAAATTAGAACTGAGGCACAGAGATTTATTTTTTTTAATATTTGTATTCTTATGTTCAGAGAGGTGTTGTTCACCATCACAAGAACATGGAAACAGCCCAAATATCCAATCATAATCGAGTGAATTGAGAAATTATTGTACATTCACATGATGGGATACTATACAACATGCAGGAGCAATGATTTTGTAATTCACTACCTAACTTGGGAGGGATTAAAGAGCATTCTTCTAAGTGAACTCAGTCCCAAAAGAACAAATACTGTATAAGATCATTATTGTAGAAATAGAAAGATAACTAGTAAAACATGTATGAGGACCCAAGGAGGGGGTAGTGTAGGAGCAGAGAGGTGATGATGAGCCCAGCGGGGGGAGGAGGAAGAATCATAGGTTTTTACAATTTAATGTATAGGAGGGCATGTAAAGGAAATGGGAGGTATCCAGTGTGAAAAACAATGTATATGAACTTTTTAAGTAAACCAGCATAAAATAGAAATTTTATTTTTTAAAAGAGCATTCACTCTGGGAAGCCTTTAATTGGTTGAATAAGAATCCTTAACACAGACATAATCCTTGTCCTTCTGCTGTCTTGCACACAGCATTCTTTCTAAGTTTATTTACCACTGAATCCCAAGCAAGCTCACAGTCATCAATGATCAACAAATGCTCCTTTGAATGAAGAAAGAAGCAAAAGAAATGGAATTTTAGGAAGAGAGAGGTCTCAGCTGGCCTCTGTGCCTCAAGAAAGATAAAGATGAATCAGCTGCTGCAGAAGTCATCGATTGCTTTTCTCAAGTCAATTTCTGTAAGGAGACAATTTCTGAAAGAAATGAAGCCAGACTGAAGTAGAAGTTCATTTAAGAAACTTGCTGTAAAGGGCATGAAGTAGGTTCAACAGCCTGTTGTTCAGCCTCCTAGTTCTGGCTTTCAATCCATGCTTCCCATTGCTGTCAACGTATACTTCCTATATGCAAACCTATGCTACTTCTCTGGTTAAGAATATGGATGACTTTTCATTGATCTAAAAATACTACTCACTGCGCTGTCTGGTCGCTATGAGTCGCAGGCGACGCGACGGCACATAACAACAACAACAACAGCGCTGTCTGGTGCACCTTTGGGTGGCCTGCTCCTCTTTTAGCTCAGGTCATGTCCCTTTCCCATGTTGTTGTTGTTGATTGACTTTGAGTCAAGCACGACTTATAGAGACCCTGACCAGCTATTAGGCGGTGGGGTTTCTTGCTCCTATTGCTGTCTGGAATAGTCTTCTGGACGCTAGACTTTCACAGCTAAGCACCTGAAACACTTGCCAGCGAGCACGACTGTGTCCATCACTAAACTCACGCTCAGGTTAGGAGTTCTCTCGTCTATACTCCAAGGAGCTCTGCTGGCACACCAGCTAAGCACTCAGTTACTACATTTAAGGGCTTTAAAGAGACTCACCAGCTACTCTGTGGAGGTTAGCATCCCAGTGCTCAATCCACTGTACCACCAAGAATCCCTCTACAGCTTTGGCAGCCCTACTGCAGGCTGTTCTTCTCTGGCCCACAAGATCGCTATGAGTTGGAATCTACTTGACTTTAAAAAGAGGATTGGGCATATTTTACTTTGGCATACAATTACTTTGGATCCCTAATTATTATAGCTTATCAACAGTACTCGTGATTACTTCATGATTCTGAGTCCCAGGAGACAGAGAGCGCCCCAAAGCGGGCAGTCCAGTAAAAGAAAGCAGAAGAATGCAAAGAGTGGTCGCATAGACTAAGTTGTAAGAAATCAGTTAAGATGGTTATTGTTCACGGCAAGTGAGCTGCTTTTAGTGCTCTGAGCGATCTGCAGGCCGATGTCGGGATCACTCACCCGCAAGCACGAATTTAGCCATGGCCAAGCAAAGATGCTGAGGCTGGGACCCCGCGTCGCGGTTTCCAGGCAACCAGGCCACCAGACTTAGCGCAGGCGCACTCCCAGACGGACCTCGGGGATTGGCCACGCGCGGGGATGCCGTGTGGAATGTAATCCCTTAAAGCGGTAACGTTGGGATACACAAACAAACATAAATGTCATTCATTCACTTCCTTGCTTGTTTATTTCTTACTGTCTGCATTTTTTAAAAAAAAAAACCACACACAAAATCAAAAACCCAAAACACTTCCCCATTGAATTTTCACCTTTTGGAATGATTCCATCGGGGGCATCGCGAAAGCACATTTTTGACCTAGGAAAGGACCCGTAAAGTCTCGCGATATGCGCAGTTCTCGGGGAATCCATCAAGGGCGGTTTCTGTAAGTAACCTGCCTCCCAACTTAAGGTGAGTGTTAAGCGAAAGAGAAGGGAGACAGTAGTTGTTAATACCCCCGCTTTACATTTCTTGCCTTGTAGAGGAAGGTCTTTGAAGACGGCTGACACTAACTGTAGACTCCTTACTAATGGCCGCGCAACTTTCATAGGATGAGGTTACTGAGGGGGTTAGTGAAGTGTGTTTGGGGAATGTGTCCTTTCCTGAGCCATTGACTTGCCAAGTCCCTGTATTTAATAGTGCGGTTTCGGCTCTTGCCAAACCTTCTTGTTAGACAATACTCATCATTGTTAAACCCATTGTTTCATTTGGAGATAATCTCCCAAGGTGTTGTTACGGGCTGTCCTGTTTTGGGTTTACAGCGACCTTATGCATAATCCAGCAGCTGCCCCTCAGGAGAACGATGTACAGTCTCCTCCCATGCAGTTAAACCCTCTGAAGGTCAGCTATGGTTTGACTCGACGGTGCTCAACAGCAACAACATTCACGACAGAATGAATCACTGCTTAGTCCTATGGCAGTATTATCGTGGTTGCTGCCTTTCAGCCCTTTGTTGCAGTCATTGTCAGTCTGTCTCATTGAGGGGCTGATCCGCTGGTTTACTAAGCATGATATCCTCCATGGAGCAGCCTCTCATGATACTACGCATCAACAATGTGCCAGAGGAAGACTTGCCATCTCATTTCTAAGTTGAATTCTAGTTGTACTTCTTCCAAGACAGATTTATTAATTCTTCTGTCCTTTTTTAGTGCAAAGGTAGAGCGAAAATAACATCCATTTTGCAAAGAAAGCTCTTTGGAACACTTTTTACTAGAAATAAACATATCTATTTCTGAAGTAACCTGCTTTAAAACTGTAACTGTGGTGGTAAGGACGATGCTTTTGGTTAGTTTTACTGTAATCTTTGCTAGCTCCATTGGTCCTCATTTTAGTTTCTATTAAATGTAGCACATTTCTTTAAATTCAAGTGTTACTTTTGATTTTAATTTCTTTTATAACTTTATCCCCTACAGGAAAACAACTTGTGTCCTTTGTCACTGATAAAAGTGAAATTTCTTTCACATTGACAATTTTCAAGCCATTTGAAAGTATTTTCATTGGATACCAAAATGAATAACAAAACAGGTTGCTTTTTATGGAACCTTAGGCAATTCAGTACTTTAGTTTCAACATGCAAGAGAAGAACTGTCAAACTAGTATATCCTTTGGGATTTTGCAGAACAGTAAATGTTCTTCCATATTGGAACCCAAGAAACAAATTCTTAAATGACCATGAAAATGGAATGCAGTTATCTATTAAATATTTCTTTCAGGATGCACTGAGTTTTAAATCGGGAGATGTTGGCTTTCAAACAAATGGCATAAGTACTGTACGAGTCCCTATGAATGACAGATTACTTTGCCCTAGAAGATTGTCATTTGACTCAAAACGTTCTTTTGCCACTGTTGGTATGTCTGATGGTGGACTGAAGAAAATAGACTTTGATCATGAGGTCTCCAATGAAGATGTTCTCATTAAGGAAACAAAACCAAGCCATCAAAAACTGTCTCAGGAGTACAATTCCCTGAGTGATGTGTTGGATGCCTTTTCAAAAGCCCCTACATTTCCTAGTAGTAACTATTTCTCAGCAATGTGGAAAATTGCCAAAACGATGTCTGAAGACCAGAAATGCATTGAAAAGCAACTGATGTTTAACCACCCTGCTTTTAGCCAGCTGTGCGAACATCTGATGAGAGAAGCCAAGATTATGTACTGTGACCACCTGCTGTTCAGTCTTCATGCTGTAGTGAAACTTGGCCTCCCTCAAAATACGCTACTGGTGCAAACTTTGCTGAGAGTGGTTCAGGTAAAAGAAAAAAAGAATTAAACTCCCTTTTACTCTGTTTAGGAAGACTTGGTGATACTGTGATGAAGCACTGCAAGCCACAAGGTTAACAATTTAAACCTAGCAGCTATTCTTTGGGAGAAGAATGTGGTGGGTTGTTTTTAGCCTTGGGAACTCAGTGAAGGCAGCTTAACACTTGTACAACTGGGAGGTGAGAATAGACCTGACAGCAGCAGGCTCTGTTTGGTTTGCTCTGTTGAGGGAGATCTGGTGGAGCAGTTGCTGACTGCTAAGAGGAAGGTCCCTGATTCATATCCCCCAGCTTCTCTGAGGAAGAAAGACATGACAATCTTTTTCCATGTAGACATACAGCCCCAGGAAAGTTCTACTCTGTATTATAGGGCTGCAGCATGTCATAATGAACTCCAGGAAAATGGGTTTGGTGGTTTGTTTGTTTGTTTTTTTTTTAAAATTCTGTTTAGCATATATTGAATGAATGAGGAGAAAGAGAGATTTGGCTTCCTTGAAAGAGATAATCAAGAGAATGATAGTTTCTTTTATACTTGCTTCTACATATATATTATATGGTTTAGGAACCTTAAGTTCGTTAGGTCTTTTTTGTTTGATTTAGAAATCTGTTTCTTAACATTTGTATTTATTTCTTTTCTAGAATTATGTAGCAATGAAGAGGTTAACATCAGAAACAAAAACATACACACACACACGTACACAAACATGTACATACAAGCAGAATATATGAGAGCTTTGACAATTGAAGGAAGGAAAGAATAGAAAGGAACTGAGTATTTGCTAAGTATCTTGGGCTTTTAGTTTTAGAATTTTATTTCATTCTTGGAATAGCCTTGCAATGTCAGTGTTAACCCTAAGTTTGCCAATGTGGAAACAAACATAACTCAAAGGCATCTTTCCTTATTACTGCCTAGCTTTTGAATGCCTGAGATGATTGAAAAATGTAAGGTACATCTTAGTTTAAACCATGTTTTTGTTGTTATGTGCCGTCGAGGTATTTGCGACTCATAGCGACCCTATGTACAACAGCCCTAAACCCTGCTCTATCCTGTGCCATTTGCATTGCCTCTGACACACCCATCCTGATTACCCCAGTCACTGAATCAATCCACCTCATAGAGGGTCTTCCCCTCCTGCGCTGGCCCTCTACTCTACCCAGCATGATGTCCCTCTCCAAAGATCTGTCTCTCCTTGCAACATGTCCAAAGTATGTCAGATGAAGCCCCAGAATCTTTGCCTCTAAGGAGTAGCCTGGTTTAACCCTCTCTAGGATGAATCTGTTTGTTTTCTTGGCAGTTCATGGTACATTCAATAATCTTCTCCAGCACCACAGCTCAAAGGTGTCAATTCTCCTTTTATCCTCCCTAGTCATTGTCCAGCTCTCTGATGCATAACAAGTGATTGCAAAGACCATGGCCTGTATCAGGAGCACCTTCGTCTCCAAAGAGACTCCGTTGCTCTTGAGTACTTTAGAGAGGTCCCTAACAGCAGACTTTCCCATTGCAATACGTTTTTTGATTTCCTGGCTGCTGGTGCCAAGAGTGTTGACTGTGGAGCCGAGCAAACTGAAGCTGTGAACAATCTCAATCTCTTCACCATCCATCCTGATGCTACCAATTGGTCCAGTGGTGAGAATCTTTGTCTTCTTAACATGAAGCCTCAGTCCATACTGAAGGCTGCAGTCCTTAACCTTCTGCAGTAAGTGCATGAGGTCCTCCTCAGTTTCAGCGAGCAAGGTTGTGTCATCTGCCTAACGCAGATTGTTGATAGATCTTCCACCAATCCTAATGCCACACGTCTCCTCATAGAGCCCAGCCTCTCGGATAATCTGCTCTGCATACAGGTTGAAAAGGTATGGAGATAGGACACATCCCTGGCGTACACCCTTCCCAATTTTGAACCATGCAGTGTTGCCCTGCTTTGTTCTGACAACTGCCTCTTGGTCCAAGTATAGGTTTGGCATTAGCACGATTAAATGTTTTGGGATTCCCATTCTCAGAGTCAGCCACAGTTTGTTATGATCCACGCAGTCAAATGCCTTTGCATAATCAATGAAACACAGATAGACATTCTTCTAGTATTCTCTGCTTTCAGCTAAGATCCATTTAACATCGGCTACAATATCCCTATGTACAACAGTTTAAACCATAGACTCTGTTTATTTGATACACTGAATACTAATTCCCTGTGTAGATATTTAAAAGTGACTGTGCTAAGTTAGTTTTGTGGTCAGTGATTCTCTTACAAGATTTTGGACAGATTTTCCCATTAGCATAGCCTCTGCATTGGTGAAGTATAAGCAGTGAGTATTTGGAGTAATAGCTATATGCATGCTTGTGTTTTCTTAAGCTGTGGGAACATCTTTGGACATCAGCTGGAAAGGACAGGACATTGCACTTTCAATGAATTTGCTTTTCACATAGCCAAGTAATCTTGCCTTCACAACAGTTAGTGATAGATTGCTCTCAGTGTTAACAGTAACTTCCCTAAGAAATGGAAATCTTAACTCACTCTGACCATATTCATTTCCTGTTGCCCATATATGATTGAATATTTCTTGACTATATTTCATATAATTTTAGCAAAAAGATGCAACACTTTCAGCCTAAGTTTCTTCAGATGTTATCACAGCTACTCTGGTGATAGAGAGCAACTATGATTACATTGCAGAGTACTAGGTAGGCTGTTATTACTAGTTACTATCTAAATTGTACCTGTTGCCATTCCCGAAGTGTAAATTAGCATCTTAATTCTAAATAAACTAATTGTGGTTGTAGTTATCCTTAAGAGTTAGGGGGGGGGAAACACCCCAAAACAAAGCAAAACCCATAAGCACTAAGTCTGTTTCAATTCTTAGTGAGCATATAAGACAAACTAAATTGCCCCGTAGAGTTCTAAGATTGCCGTCTTTACAGAAGCACTCTGCCATTTCTTTCTGCTTTGGAATAGCTATGAGTACAAACTACTGACTTCTTCTTTAACCTACCTGTGGAGGTCCACATAATGGTGGTAAAACAGAGCAGCAGCTCTGGTTGACAAGATTCACCATTGAAGTGAGAGTTTGGTATGCAGGAAAGGATATAGGGACATTGGGAAGGGCACAGCGATCTAAGAGTATTTAGGTAAGAGCAGATTAGTAGGATATCTTAATAAACTGCAGTCTATTCACTGTTACTGTCTTTATTCTTCATGTTGACCTTGAGTTTTTTAAAAGTAACAATCACTTTTTCTAAAAATTATCTCAGAAGCCAAGTAATACAGTAAGCACTGAATAGATTTTTATGAGAACAATGAATGTAAAAAAGTATTGATGCATATGAAGGGGAACATAAGTTACCTGGAAGTTCCCTCCAGTCTGCTGCTTTTATTTCCCAGAGATACTTTTTATTGTGAACGGACTCTGAAATACTGGTTTGATAAAAGTATCAGTGTTGTGGTTATACTGGGTTGAAATCGTCTACTGTGGGCCCATCCCCTGTAACGTTTGTAATTACATTTCATCAGGTACGGATCAATGAGTGTGATGAGAAATGCCTTTCAGTTTTGTCAGCTGTTCTAGCAGCAATGGAGCCTTGCAAGAATGTGGACGCTCTTCGAGCGGGATTACGGTAAAAGCTCTGTTAGGCTTTCTGTGTGTGGTTTTCTGTTTCCCCCTCTTATATTTATAATAAGAAAAAACTTAGATGGAAACCCAGCTGCTCTTTTGGGGACCAGGGGTTGGGAGTAGGTGGAGTGGACTCTTCAAGTCACACTTTATTAACCAAACCCTGGATTGCGTAAAGCTGAAGATAAGTGTCTTTTCAGATCTCTTTAAGAAATTGTGGGTAACATTGAAATCTAAATTAACTTATCTTAAAATATTACTGATGTGTATGGATGGAGAATTGGCATGTATATTTCCCTTCACAAACGTTATTTGGGCACATGACACTGGGTAGGCATTAACTTGAGTTTTATAGCTTATAAAGTGGATGCAACTGAGCAAATGTCATAGGTCAGTAAGGAAACTATTTTTATTGTCCATGTATTAGAAAGTTTTTCTATTTTTTTATTCTATTAATAAAGATAATACATATTGTCATTATTCATCACAAGTGACTTAATGGCATATAAAAACATTAACATACTGTGACAGCTTTGGAAGTAGGAGTGGCATCCACTTCTTAAATAACATGCCTCCAGAAACTATGAACTTTGATAAATGTCGATAGTTGTAGAGGGGCTTCAAGCCTTTTGTTCACAGGTTGCTATGTGTCCTGACTTGAAGGCAATCAACAACAACAATGAAGAGACTCGAATACTGTGAGAGAAAATAGTACTAGATGGGTTCTGAGTCTGACTACTGCTTATACTCTGGCAGAGAGGTCACTTTGTTTCTATGCTTTATATTCCTTGCCTATAAGAAGTAGAGACTAGAGCAATTGAACTTTTAAGCTTTCTCTTCTGGTTCTAGAATGGGGGTATTTAATGTATTTATTGTATTTAATGACAGGATACTAGTTGAGCAGCAAGTTTGGAAAATAGAACATGTCTTCACATTACAAACTCTGATGAAATGTCTTGGAAAAGATGCACCGAATACTCTTAAAAGGAAACTGGAGGTAAAGTGTAAGACATTTCTTGTGACCTGCTGTGCTCAATTCAGTATCGAGCAACCTGAATCCTAAAGTCCGTTTTTATGATGATATTGCTGTACTTTCTTGACTTAGTCTTACATGGGTGAAATAATAGAAGTAGGTTTTCATTTGTGCATATATAAATACACGTACCTATATATGTATCTGTTTGACTCATTTTCTCAAATTATATCCTTTTATGTGAAAAAATAAAAACTATTTGATTTTGCCACAAATGATTAAGTTTGTTTTCTTTAGATGAAAGCTGTGAGAGAACTAGACAGATTTTCTGTTCCGAACAGTCAGCACATGTTTGAGGCTCTGGCTGCCATGAATCTCCGTTCAGTTGTACTGTTAAATGGATGCAGTAAGATGGTTGTAGGTGAGAGAATTTTTTGTTAATTTATAACATCTGGTCTATTTGTTTTAGAAACTTTAAAAGTATCTGGTATATGAACTTTATGAACTTTGTATGTAAACCAGTAAAATTTTCTTTGAAAAATGTATCTGATGACATGGATACATCTAAATTTTAGTTTTTGCCTTTTTTTCCAAATTGGAATGCTGTTACTTTTTTTTTTTTAAGTTGGCTTCTCTCCAAATATAATACAGTATTTTGAAAGAAACAAAAACAGAGGTCAAGCATCTTGAATCTTACATCAAATCTATCTAATAATTTTCCTTTGTTTTTTCATCTCATCTTTAAAGATAATATCCATGAATGTCCTTTTAAGAAAATGGTCTGCATATTACAGTCCTGCAGAGATCTCCGGTACCGTAACTTTGATCTCTTCAAGGGAATAGCAGATTATGTGGTTTCCACTTTTGACGTGTGGAAGTTGAAACAAGTGAGTATGTTAACAGTTTAAAAAATGTCTCAGAAACTTTCATGAGACATACTAGCCATTCAGAATATTCCCCCATTTGCTTCATAGACAGCAAAAGTATTCCAAAGCTGAATTAACTTTTTAAAACTTAGCTCTTTATTGTTTCTGCCTGGGGTTGTTAGTTGTTCTTATGTGCCATTGAGTCGCTTGCGACTCATAGTGACCCTATGTACAAGAGCCCTAAACGCCGTTCTATCCTGTGCCAACCTCGCCGTCTCAAAAACACTCGTTCCCACCACTCCACTCACAGAATCGATCTATCTCATCAAGGGTCTTCCTCTCCTGTGCCGTCCCTCCACTCTCCCAAATATGATGTCCCTCTCCAAGGACCAGTCCTTCCTTGCAATGTGCCCAAAGTATGTCAGACGAAGCTTCATAATCCTTGACTCCAAGGAGCATTCTGGCTTCACCCTCTCCAGGACAAACCTGTTTGTTTTCCTAGTAGCCCACGGTATATTCAGCACTCTTCTCCAGCACCACAGCTCAAAGGCATCAGTTCTCTTTCTATCATCCCTATTCATTTTCCAACTCTCCAATGCATAGCACGTAATTGCAAAATGCTATAGTACATTAGTTAATATTCTGTCTTTTTATCAGAAAAAATTCTAATGTGAAAAGTGTGTTCTTTTTTAAAAAATTTTTATAACATTTGGTTATTCAGCATTATTTTTGTATTTCCACTTTTCCTTCTTAGAAGAATAAAAATGGGCAGTGTTACAGACTTAACTGTGCTTTTTAATATTTTGTTGTGGTTTGAGTGAAAGCTGTCAGGGCACACTAGTTTTCCACTCAGTAGCTTATGTGCATTTTATGTGGAGATGTTAGTTATAGTTCCCCTCCGTGTAACAGCACTCTTCCTCTTTTCTCACTGAGTTCCCTGTTTCCATCTATCCTGCTCTCCTGCCTCTGAACTTGTGTTTGGGAAGGCGCTGTGCTTTTTTATCTCCTATGCTTGTGAGGAGTAAAGTATTCCTGGGGATACTGCTAACTTTATTGGCCTCTAGCGTTTGCTTGCTGAAAATGAGGAGGACCTGGAGTGCTTGTTGCAGAAGGTCAAAGACTGTAGCCTTCAATATGTTTTGAAGCTCAACATCAAGAAAACAGAGATTCTCACCACTGGGCCAATTGGCAGCATTATGATAGATGGTGAAGAGATTGAGATTGTTAACAGCTTTAGTTTACTTGGCTCTACAATCAACACTCATGGTACCAGCAGCCAGGACATCAAAAGATGAATTGCATTTGGAAAGTCTGCTGTCAGGGACCTCTCCAGAATACGGAAGAGCAATGATAACAGCTTGAAGACTAAGGTGCGCCTGGTCCAGGCCATAGTCTTCGTGATTCCTTGCTATGCATCAGAAAGCTAGACAGTGACTAGGAATGATAGAGAATAGATGCCTTTGGGTTGTGGTTCATCCTGGAGAGGGTGAAATCGGTTGCTCCTTGGAGGCAAGGATTCTGAGGCTTTGTCTGACATACTTTGGGCATGTTGCAAGGAGGAACTAGTCCATTGAGAAGGACATCATGCTTGGGAGAGGAAGGACAGCATAAGAGAGGAAGACACTTGATGAGATGCATTGTTTCAGTGACTGACGTAATGAGGGTGGGTGTGTCAGAGACAGTAAGGGTGGTACAAGATAGAGCAGGTTTTAGGGCTGTTGTAGGGTCATGAGTCACAAATGACTCAATGGTACATAACATCAACAAATAACTACATTGGTTGAAAGCAGATTCTGGGAGTGAGTTCACTTTGTGGCTTGAAAGGAAGTTCATTCTTTATGAAGAATAAAACTATTCTACTAGACTACGTAATGGTCTAGTGGCTTAGTGATAAGAAATTGAGCACCCAGTGCAAAGGTGTTATTGTTGTTGTTATGTACTGTCAACTATGCTATGTCCTGTGCCAATTGCACTGTCTCTGACACTCCCATCCTGATTATCCCAGTCACTGAATCAATCCACTTCATAGAGGGCCCTCCCCTCCTGCGCTGTCCTTCCACCCTCCCAAGCATGATGTCCTTCTCCAAGGACCGGTCTCTCCTCACAACATGTCCAATGTATGTTAGACGGAGCCTCAGAATCCTTGCCTCCAAGGAGCCACCCGGTTTAACCCTTTCCAGGACAAATCTGTTTGTTTTCCTAGCAGTCCATGATACTCTCAATACTCTTCTCCAGCACCACAGCTCAAAGGCATCAATTCTCCTTCTATCCTCCCTAGTCATTGTCCAACTCTCTGATGCATAACAAGTGATGGCGAAGACCATGGCCTGTATCAAACACACCTTAGTCTCCAGAGAAACACCATTGCTCTTCAGTACTTTGGAGAGGTCCCTAACAGCAGACTTTCCCATCGCAATATGTCTTCTAATATCCTGGCTGCTGGTGCCAAGAGTGTTGACTGTGGAGCCAAGCAAACTAAAACTGTGAACAATCTCAATCTCTTCATCATCCATTCTGATGCTGCCAGTTGATCCAATGGTGAGAATTTTTGTCTTCTTGACATTGAGCCTCAATCCATATTGGAGGCTGCAGTCCTTGACCCTCTGCAGCAGGTGCTTCAGGTCCTCTTCAGTTTCCGCAAGCAGGGTTGTGTCATCCGCATAACGCAGATTGTTGATAAATTGTCCCCCAGTCTTGACCCCACATTTCTCCTCATAGAGCCCAGCCTCCCAGATAATCTGTTCTGCATATAGGTTGAAAAGGTATGGAGATAGAATGCATCCCTGGTGTACGCCCTTCCCAATTTTGAACCATGCAGTGTTCCCTTGCTCTGTTCTGACGACTGCCTCCTGGTCCAAGTATAGGTTTCTCATTAGAACGATTAAGTGTTCTGGGATTCCCATTCTTCTCAGGGTCAGCCACAGTTTGTTATAATCCACAGTCAAATGTCTTTGCATAATCAGTGAAACACAGACATTCCTCTGGTATTCTCTGCTTTCAGGCAGAAGAGGAAGCGAAGGCCAAAATAGATGTCAGAAGAGACTCTGAATATTGCACTGGAACACAGAGAAGCCAAAGCACAAGGAAGAATTCAAGATACTAAAGAGTTGAATAGAAGATTTCAAAAGGCAGCATGGGATGACAAAGCAAAATATTACAATGAAATGTGCAAGGAGTTGGAGTCAGAAAATCAAAAGGGCCGAACTCGCTCAGCACTTCTTAAGCTCAAGGAACTGAAGAACAAATTCAAACCTCAAGTTGCTGTAATCAAGGATGCTTTTGGCAGAATGTTAAATGATCCAGGAAGTATTAAAAGAAGATAGAAAGAATGTACTGAGTCACTGTATCAAAAGGAATTGGCAGACACAGAAGAATTTCATGAAACAACATATGAGCAAGAGCTTATGGTGATGAAAGAAGCAGCTTAGGCTGCTTTCAAGGAAACGGCAAAAAATAAGGCCCCAGGAATAGATGGTATACCAATTGACATATTTTAGCTAACAAATGCTGCCCTGGATGTGCTCACCAAGTTGTGCCAAGAAATCTGGAGAACAACCACTTGGCCAACTGACTGGAAGAGATCTATATTCCTATCCCAAAGAAAGGTGACCCAACAGAGTGTGGAAACTATAGAACAATCTCACTGATTTCACATGCAAGCAAGATTTTACTGAAGATTATCCAAAAACGACTGGAACAGCACATCGGTAGAAAACTACCAGAAGTCCAGGCTGGGTTTAGAAAGGGTCGTGGTACTAGGGATATTGTAGCTGATGTTAGATGGGTCTTAGCTGAAAGCCGAGAGTACCAGAGGAATGTCTATCTGTGTTTCATTGACTATGCAAAGTGCAAAGGTATATGCTTCAAATCCACCAGCTACTCTGTGGGAGAAGGTTGACCAGTCTCCTTCCTTGCAATGTTCTGCCTCTGAAAACCCACTGTTAGGTCAACTGTAGGTTGGCTCTGACTCTATTGAACACAACAACAACTTAATGATCATACATAGTTTCTGTTTATGGGAAGTTAGCTTGTTCCTTCCAGAATAAACACCTTGCCATTCAGGTCTTTGTTGGCAATAAAACATCCAAATGTAGCTGTCAGTAAAATGGCTTGTAGTAAAGTACATGGTAAACGTGCTTTCAGGTTTCAATAAGAAGACTTGTTAAGTTTACGGTGGAAAGTGATTTTTTTATGTAAGTAATTTTAAGAGGAATCAAGGGGTGAACTAGAAAATTGATTTTTTCACAATATTTGAGCTCTTCATTTATAAATATTGTAGAATTTTGTAATTACTTCATGTATTGGGGCTCTGATGGCTTAGCAGCAAGAAGCTGTGCTGCAATCCCAAAGGCACGTAGTTTGAGGCCACCAGCTGCCCTGCAGGAGAAGGATGGGCAGTCTCCTTCCATGGGATTAACTGCCTCTGAAAACCCACCAGAGGGTCAGCTATGAGTCAGTTTCAATTGTACGGTACATAACAACAACAGCATTGGAATCTTAAGAAATGTCTTGATTTAGAGATAAATATGTTCAAGGTTGTGTTTGTCATTTGGAAAAATTTTGGAAAAGGCACTTAAAGGCAAGTTCAGGTCTTGTGTAAGAAAAGAGGTGTTAGTTTTAAATGAAATGGTATATGGAAACGATTGCATATGTTGGTTCATAGCTTTTACAAAGAAGTTGCTTAGTAACTTGATAAAAGATTCGAGAATTACTGGAGCAGATTTTGTGAGAAAATTTAACTGTTCCATTTAAAGAAATACTTTGGTGATCAAGATAGTTTTATTGCTATTTATATTTTGAGATAAAAAAATTACTATTAGCATGTTATAATTATTCAAATTTTTTCCATTCATTTCTCTCCTTTTAAGGTTTTCTTACTCCTAGCTTTATTTGAAAACTTGGGCTTTCGACCTGTTGGCTTGATGGACTTGTTTATGAAGAAAGTAGTAGAGGAACCTGAATTCTTAAACATGAAAAACACCCTGGCTATTCTTCTTGTGTATTCTTCTCTCAATCACTTCCACGAGCACCAGAACAAAGAGTATGTAATTATTTAAAAGTTTAATAGAACATATTTTTTATATTGTTTGTATGTTTTTACTACCCTCTAACATTTATCGGTGTCTCTGGTGGCCTGGATGTAAAGAATTGCACTGTCAGCCAAAGGCGGTAGGTTCAGAACCACTAGCTGCTCCTCCAGAGAATGATGGACAGTCCACAGAGAGACTAGCAGAGTTTCGTGACAGGCCTGTCCTTCGGGGTAGATAATCAAAGAAGTGATGTTGGGCACACTCAACGTTGCTTTCTTCTTCAGTGAATTGATAGCATCTCAGTCAGACTCTACTCACATTGTGTTTCTGGCACCTTCCCAAATAGATTGTCTGTCAGAGCCCCTGTGCATGTCGTGACATATTCATACCTCCAGCAGAGCTTTGGCAGCACTGTCATCATCTGTCAGTTAATTTCTATGCCAGGCAGTGGGGAAGTTCTTTAGGTTCCAGCCCAGATTCCCCTTATCACCAGAATTTAGCATAGGGCCTGGCAAAGAGTAGGCATTTAACAAGGGTTGAAACATGTCCCCAGTATAAAGCCTTTGCATTCTTCTGGCTTGGTTTTCTCATGAGGCAATCTCCTGTGTAGCTCTTATACTTTCTAGACAAATACTGTCGGCCTGAGTGGTAAATTGCAAGCTCCTGAAACAGCCTGGCAGCTTTCATGGGAGTAGTGGGTGGTTAGAGAGTTTTTTCAGCTAACACAAGGGGTAAGTGGGCTCTATAACATAATTAGGTTTTAACCGAGTCATATAAAGCTTGAGAAATTCAGTCAGATTCACTAGTAGCAGAATCCCAGTAGGCGTGAACTCATGTCCTTTTATCTCTCTGCTTTTGTTTAATTCAGTGGTTCTCAACAGGGCTGATTTTACCTCCCAAAGAGCATGGCATAGGGTGTACGTGCTGTAGGCATCAGGTGGGTAGTAGCAGAAAATGTACCCTTGCAGCAAAGCATGATCCAGGCCACAAGGTTGTTAATGTTGAGAGGGCAAAACTTGCAGCGAACCCTTAACCCCTCACTTCAGCATCTCTCCTGTGGAGAAATGGAACAGTGAAAATGTGACTGCAGATCAAGATTAATCAATATAAAAAAGACACTTATGTTCCTTGTCTTTTCTAGAACAAGAAAGCAAGCAAGTGTAATATGTCCAGAGTTAGCTAGTAAATGGCAAGTATCAAATGAATGCAGTATGGACAAGGATGATGACTTCTTGGGTGGGACTGGCAAAGGTTTTGGAAGCAGAATAATTCAAAGCATCTGGAAAGAATGTTGACTATGCAAGAAAGTGGTAGAAAATCTGGCGTGGCACATTACATGCATTTGTATTGTGACTTTATGTATCATCGAGTCAGAACCGACCCATAGCTGACCCTCTAGTGTTGTTTTCAGAGCTGGTAAGCCAGATGGAAGAAGATTGTCCAAATTTCTCCCACAGAGTAGTGGTGGGTTTGAACCATGTGCTTTGGAATTGGCAGCACAATTCCATACTGCTAAACCACCAGAGCGTCCTAGAAATCCACATTCTATACATGAATAGATGTACTTTTATGCTGTGGTCTCTTTAGAGAGAATGAGGGGTGTTAAATCTAGAGTATCTTCTCGGTTTGAAAGCCAATGAAATATAAAACATTGGACCTTTTGTTTCACACCTTTGGCTTCTTCTCTTCTTGACCTGTTTCTCCTCCTGGATAATTCCCAGATTTCCATCTCTGACGTCCACGTGCTCCTGAACCCAGACCTTAGTCTCTGTGGGTTGTGTATGGTCGGTCCTCTTTACTCTGTACATCCCACTAGTGCCTCAAATTCAGTCATTTTAGAATTCTGCTTGCTTCTGCTTTTTTTAAATTGTGGTAAATATATTAGCCCCAAAGCATTTGCCATTTCAAGTTTCCACATATACAGTTCCATGACATTCATTATGTTTTTCATAATGCCAGCCCTTTTTTCTTGTCCTTTTTTATTAACGTGCTTCTGCTTTCTTGCTCATCAAACAATTACCAAATTCCTAGGGTGCTTATAACAAAAAAGATTGCTTCTTGCTAGATTCTATGTAACAAAGAAGAGACACATAAGTTGGTAATTAAAAACAGAATGAAAACTGGAGTGATGGAAGTTTATACAAGACCTAGAAGTGAGAGGAACCTAACCTGGTGTAATAGTCAGGAAATGCTACCTAGATGGTGCCTGAGCCAGTCTCAAGAGGTAGACAGGAGTTCGCCAAGAGAAGATAAGCAGGGAACATTTTGAGCCTCAGAGACACTATAAGAAAGATCTGGAGGAGCTCTGGTGACCTAGTGGCAAGAAGCTGCACTGTAATCCCAGAGGCACACAGTTCAAATCCACCAGATGCTCTGCTGGAGAAGGAAGGGCAATCTCCTCCTGTACCAGTCAGATCCAATTTGATGATACACACAAAAAAAATAATAAAATTTAAAAAATTTTTTTCAAAAAAGAAAAACCTGGAGGAAAGAATCTGCAGTTTGCATTTGCTGAAGCATGAGATACAGCAGAAGGAGGAGAGCGTGGGGCCATGGAGAGGTGATCTTTATCCGGTCCAGACTTGCAGCCCTGTGCTTTTTGACTACTGACTCTAAAAGCAGCCATCAGGGGAATAAGGGCTGCCTCTGTATTGTCTCTAGGCCCTGTTACCTGTTCTCTGTCCCTCTGTGACGTTACCAGTTCTACTTGACGTTCTGCCACCTCCTCTTCTCTTCATTTCCACCTTCTCTCTACCCTTGCCACCTGCCCGTTACTCTCAAATGTTGTCCTTTACAATCTCATTGGCAATGAAAAGTTGAGAGCTCATTTGCCCCCTGCCTGAGCATCGCTATTAATCAGCCACACTGCTTATTCTGCACCCTTCAAATACTGTGTACTTGGGCTCCATTTCTTTAATCAGCTTCAGATTATTTCCCCTTTCCTTATATTTTCAGGCTGTTGAAATTCTGCTTATTCCCAAAGTTACATTATCCACTTTCCAGCCCCGACGCTTTCATAGTCCTTTGCTCCTGTTGTTAATAGTTGCCATCAAATTGATTCTGCTGCACGATAATCCTGTGTGTGTAGAGTAGAGCTATATTCCAGGGTGTTTTCAAGGTTGTGACTTTGCAGAAGGACAGTGCAGTCCTGTCTTCCCAATACCTCTGACTGGGTTCAAACTGCAAACCTTTCTACTAGTGTCAAGCACTTAACTATTACCTGTGACTCCATTTTGCTTGTTCTGTTTTTTTCCCCCTTTCGTGTACTCTGGAAGCCAAAGTGATTTGAGTTTTAAGGCTCTGAGCCATTTATTAATATACACTCTGGGCAAATAGCCAGTCCTAATTTGAGTGTTTCTCTCTTCATTCGTGTGACTGCTTTTCATACTGCATTCCACCAGCTGAGTGGTCAAACTGGAATTGCATTTCTTTTAACTAAGAGTATTGATAGCTAAAGAATTTCAGTGACTGTTTGACTGCATTGGTCCTGTAGACACACTCAGGATGAAAATATTAAGTAATGGTTTAAAAAGGAGCCTTGGAGCTGACAACTTAGATTCCACTGTGGCCTTTGTTAATTCCTGGCTATAGCTCTGAACCTATTTCTTTACCGTATTGTGAGTATAATAATGCCAACTCCATTGAATTATATTTGGATCTACATAAAATAAAGCCTGTAAAGCACTTTATCTCAGCAAAATAGAGCAGTAAACCAAAAACCAAGCCCACGGCTGATGAATCAATATTGACTAATAGCGGTCCTGTAGGATGATATACCCAGCGGGGCTCCACAGTTGTCAGATCTCTTTCCTGTGGGGCGACTGGGGGATTCTAGGCATAGCCATTTGGTTAGCAGCTGAATGCTTAACCACTGCACTACCAGGACACCTATCCATAGCCAGCATCTGTTGATCATAGACATTTTAGCCACCTTAATGAAATGTAGATAGTTATTTGTGGGTCTGGTTGTTTCTGAGTTTGTCCCGCCCCCCTTCTTTGGCTTGTAAAAGCTGTTGAGCTTGTGGCATTTCATCAGCTCTCTCATGACCTTTCCTTCTGTTCGTATGTGAAAACTGGCTTTCCCTTGTTCTCCTGAAGGTTCCTAGACATTATGGCTGATGCTCTGACTGGCTGTCTTCACCAGATCTCTTCTGAAAACCTGTTGAATGCTGTGTACTCATTTTGCTTGATGAACCATTTTCCCCTGGCAGCTATTAATCAGCTTCTCCAAAAGGACATCATCAGTGAGTTGCAGACATCAGGTAAAATGCCAGTGTTCATGACCAAAATAAAGCACGACCAGAAACTTTCTTGGCTGTTTGAATGAGCTCTTAGTTGGAGCAGTGTTAACTTAAAAAGTACAGAGCAGATGTTTCTGAGGAAAGACCAGGAATGCAGACATCATTGGCAGTACCTCAAGTTGTTTAATCTGTGGAGACTCTTTAATGACAGATAATATATAACAAAAATAATACACACATGATCATCATTCCTTTTATTTAGTGCTGTAAGCTCATTGTTAAAAATGGTTCTTTACGCCTTACTTGGAAGTCTCTGCATTTCCTAATCCTTTCATGCCACATTTGGAAAACACCGTAAAGCCATTTTTGCCGCCATGGTCATTCATGATTTGGAATAAGAGAGCATATATATGGCTTGTTAGATCAAGAACTCAAATAGTTTCTTAATTCAGGTTTATTTACTTTTTGAACCAAATTAATTATTGACTTTGGTTCTTTAAGAAGGAAAAGGCACTTTTAGCACAAATATATATATAATGTGATCATCTAAGAATAGTTTATGGATATTTTCTGTGTCTGTAATGAAATTCCAAAAGTAAATTGTAAGGAATCAAATAACTTTGTCTCTGATTGTAAGACCTTTTATCTTTCCCGGGTGCTTCCTCATCTATGCAGTGAGAGGTTCAGATCAAATCACTTCTAAAGATTTTAAACCTGAAAATTATTTAATCAAGTTCACAGCACTGATCTAAACCCTGGAGACTAGGGAGACAGATGCCTTCTGGACAGAAACAGCTGGTAATGTAGGTGTATCCATAGAATGTTTTAAGTGTGACATTAGCTATTGAAGAAAAAAATGATATAAATATATTTTGTGCTTTTCTTTTTAGGAAATGTGAAGAGGAATGCTTACAAGCTTCATCTCTTAGCCACGTGCCTAGAACTTGAAGATACTCCCTATCGCAAGTCCACAGATGTGGCTCTGCCGGCTGTGCCATCAGCACCAGTGTATCCAAATGCAAAGCTTGAAGAGGCGTTAAGTAGCCTTCTGGGAGGTGAAGGTTGCTTCTCCAAGAATGTGCAGTTGCCACATAATTATCATATTGGTATGAGACTTTGATATTTTATTTCTTAATTTTTCCTTAAAGGGTCAAAGTTTATTGTCAGAGTTTAAAGTAGCAGTTAAAAGCATTCACTGAAAAAGCTAGACTAATCAGATTTGGATTCTCATTCAACTAATGTACTTATTAGTGCTGTAACCTTGGGCCCTTACCAAATTCAGTTTCTGGTCTGGCAAGAATAACCTTCCTCATAGGGTTCTTCTGATGAGAACCTGAAAGCACACAGGTAAAACCCATAGACTGTTGTCTAGCTTATAGAAAGCACTCAAGGTATTTTCACTACTGCCATCATTGTTGGTGGAAGTATTACACTGTTTTACATTTTGAAGCAGAAATCACTTTGAACAGTGCTTAGAAGATGAATATCAATTCTTTTCTTTCAGATTTTGAAATTAGAATGGATCCTAGCAGAAGTCAAGTGTTTCCAGTTTCTGACACGGATGTGGTATCATCTGCTGCAGATATTCAAAGGTTTCTTAAATATACTCATTTGTGGACTTTTCTGAAGTGAAATCTCAATTATAAAGATTGTTTTATTATAGCAGTAATAATAATTAGGCCTTATCTTGGATGATGTTTGCAGCATATCAAGAAGACTCCTTTATTCCAGAGGTGTAAACAGACGCTCTAGATGAATACAGTGGATAGGAATTGAATCCTTTAATGAAATGGGCTGATTATTTTCTGTTAAATTCTGAAGATTAACAATTCCGTAAAGCACTATTAGCATAATTAAAACTATCCATGAGGGCAAAATTTAGCAAGATAAAATAATGGTGAACATAAAGACTTTAGGCTTTTAAATAATTAAAGAATAAATACTTCACTCTAACTACCAATATCTTCCCAAAGGTAGAAGAAATTTAACCTTCAATTAATCTCTGTTGTTTATACTTCATAACCTGTATCATTGACTCAAAATCTATAAATAGGGCATCTATGAAAATAATGTGATGTTATACTATGAAAGAATACCATCAATTAGATGAGTAAGAACATTGAACTATTGTCCGTACTTCCTGTTCAATTAACCAACCTTTCTCTAAAGACTGCTCTGCTCTGTGGGGCCTGCAAAGGTGACAAACGCGGGACCTGAGCCAAAGGCATGTTTATCTCCTTTTGCACAGTAGACAGCACCCATCTGTCAGTTTGTTGTACTCTGGGGGCATTTATGTGGCTGTGATGCCGGAAGCTATGCTAACCCTATTTGAAATGCCAGAAGGGTTGTCCATGGTTTCAGTGGGGCTGCAAGACTAAAACAAACTGGAATGAATGAAGATCCTGATAATCAACTCTAAAAGAAAATTTTTCAAAATTATCCCCAAATTACTGCTTCTGAGTGGCAGTAAAACATTAATATGCCAGAGGATGAACCTCTTGGGTTGAAAGATGCTCACAGTATGACTAGGGAAGAGGTGCCTCCTCCAAGTAATGCCAAACATAGGTGGAGTCATTTTGAAGACCTCTGTCTGCTGAAGTCACATAACTGAAAATGAAAAGAAACAGCTGCAAACATCTGTTATTAATCAGAACATGGAAGATACAAAGTATGTTGTTAGATGCCATTGATTTGAGTACGACTCATAGTGATTCTATGAATTAAATATCTGAACCTTGTTCTATCTTGCGTCATCCTCACTCTTCCAGATACAGTGCAGCAGTTACTGTTGTCAAGCTTCCTGGTTGAGGGTCTTTTCCTTCACAGACTCTCCATCCTTCCCAGCATCATGTCCCTTTCCAAGGAATAACCCCTCCTAGCAAAATGCCTGAAGTATATGAGACAAAGCCTCATCATTCTTTGCTCCAAAGAGCACTCCAGCTGCACCCTCTCCAAGACGTATTTTTTTTTTCTCTTGGCCACCCATGGAATGTTCAGTGCTCTACTCTAACACCACAGCTCAAAGGTGTCAATTCTTCTTCTGTCATCCCAGCTCATTGTCCAGCTTTCAGATGCATAGCAAGTAGTTGGAAAGACAGCTTGAATCAGACAAAAACTGACATCATTACTCCTCAGTAATTTGGAGAGGTCGCTAACTGCAGATTTTCCCAGTGCAGTACATCTCCTTATTTTCCGAATGCATGTGTGTATATGTGCATAATGTATGAATCTAGGAAACTTGGAAGTTGTAAAAAATGAAATAGAAAGCATAAAGTAAATATTCTGAACATTGGTAAGCTGGAATTACTGGTATTGCATTTTGAATCAGATAATCACCTGGTATACTGTCTGTTTGAAGAGAAAATGGACTCAAATGTATTAGTACAAGAATGTTTTAAATTCTGTCCTGAATATGACACTGTCAGTGATAAAATAGTATTCATACATGTACAGAAAAAGACAAGAATTACTGTTCCTCAAATTTATGCACCATTCAATCACTAGTGCCAGGGATAAAGATGCTGAAGATTTTTCCTAGTTTCTGAAATTGTTCAGACGTTCATTCAGCAGGATGATTGGAATGTGAAAGTTGGAAACAGAGTGGAAGTTGGAAAATAATGCCTTTGAGATAGAAATAACAGCAGAGATAGATGGCAGAATTTTATAAGACCAAAGACTTATTCACTGCTTTTCAATAAAAACTAACAACCATGTACATACATCTTGGAAAGAAAGGAATCAAATTCACACCATCTGAAGAAATGGAAATGAAATTGAGTAAAACAAGTCAGAATGAGGCCACGGGCTGACTATGGAATAGATCATTAATTGCACAAGTCCACAGGATCCAAAGTACTACCAGGAGTATTTCCAACCTGAACTTAGAGACCATCTGAGGAATAGATTGGATGGCTTGAGCACTGATGACTAAAGGTCAGTTTAGATGTGTGATAACTTCATGGACATCATCATTGTAGAAAGCACAGTGTCATTAAAAAGACAGAAGCAAAAAGATCAAACTGGATGTCAGAAGAGACTCTGAAATTTGCTCTAGAATGTAGAGAAGCTAACGGAATAGGAAAAAAAAATGGTACGTAAGAGCTGAATAGATTTTAATGGTTAATCAATAGATTTTAATGGTTAACTCCAGGAAGACAAAGCAAGTTATTAGAATAAAATACATTTGACCTAGTGCTAAAAAAAAAAAAAAAACCGAGAGAGAGAAACACTGGCCATTTCTCAAGGTGAAATAAACTAAGAAGAAATTGAAATCTTGATTGAATTGGTTCACTGAAGGTTTCAGTGGGCAAAATGTCTAATGATACAGGAAACATCAAATAAGTATGCAGAGTCACCATACCAAAAAGAATAGGTAGACTATCAGCCATTTCAGGAAGTAGCAAACGATCAAGCATTGGTACTGAAGGAAGAAGTCCGAGCTCGAAGTCACCACTGTAATTCACATGTATAAATTCTTTGTATATCAAGTGGCCAAAAATACCATAGTCTGTGTCAGGTGAGGATTGAGGTGGTAGCAGAGCGTATAGACTATACCGTGGATGGCCAGAATGACTAACAGCTTTGTCTTGCAAGCAGTACAGCCGGAATGCTCCTTAGAAGTGAGGAGGGTGAGACTTTGTCTCATGTACTTTAGACATCTTACCGTGAAGGACCAGTCCCCTGACGAGGGCATCATGCTTCTGAAAATAGAGGATGAGGGGAAAAGAAGACCTTCAATAGGATGGCTTGGCACAGGCCCTACCAGTGAGCTCAAACACAGAACAGTTACGAGGGTAGCAACATAACAGGCAGTGTTCTGTTTTACACGAGGTCATTAGAGGTTAGAACGTATCCACCACCACCACCACCATTGCACAATAGATGTTCATATAAGTAGGATAATGAGAAGTATTGGAAAAAACTCTTTAGGATTTCACTCTATTTTCTCCTTTTTCATTCACATACACTTTAAACTACATTTAGCTTCACCAGTGGGCTCAAGTATATCTGAGACAATAAAGATAGTGCAGGTTAGGACAGGATTCATGTCTGTTCACAGGGTTGCTATGAGTTGTACTCAACTTGATGCATCTAACAAGAAGCTTGTTCCTTAGCCATCTTTTTCCTTAATCATGTAACTCATCTCTGTCTTACTCCTTTGGAAGGTTTCTTTTTTTGGCATAATAAAATTGCATTAATAACTGAGAAATGAGAAATCAGAACATTGCTTTAAAAACAAACAATTTACCGTAGGTCAGTATGTTGTGTATGCGTTGAGTCAGAACCAACCCATACCTGACTCTCTAGTGGGTTTTCAGAGGCAGTTAATTGCATGGTAGGTGATTGCCCATCTGTCATGGAGCAGCTGCTGTATTTGAACATACACCCTTGGGTTGCCAGTGCAGCTCTTTACCCTAGGCCAACAGAGACCTTTTGTATTAGTAAAGAATCCAATGTATTTTATTTTTCCCCCCATCAGTAAATTTAATATTTCCAAAAGGATAGGAACAATTTAAAAAAATTAGCTGATTCACGTCTTTGTTGTACATGAAGATTGTCCTTTAGCAATCTTGCTCTTTCTCTGAGGATGTTCTTTGTAGTTTTTCTTTAGTCTGACATTTCAGTATTGTTCCCTGTACATGAGACAATCTCTGCAAGAAGGTGATTTATCATTTGATATTTTCTATAATAGTACTTGTTTTAGTAATTTAAATAATCCTATGCCCATCATTGATCTACACCACAAATGAAAGCCTTAAGATGGTGTATTCTTTTCTGGATCCTGATCAAAAAGCATGGCTAGCCTTAAAGGCGGCAGAGGGAAGCACTTGTGTGTAGAGCATTAGGAAAGGCTTTTGGCTCCTGAAATAGGCTTCACGTGGCAGTGAGGGATTAAAATAATGGGCAGTGGTAAGGACTGGTCTGCAGAGAGATCTATTTTTAGATACCAAAGAATGGGAATGATGCTAAATGATTAGAAATGTTAATCTTGAAAGTAACTTTTCTTCTATTGTCCATTTTCATTTTCAGAGTAGCTGTGCTGTGCATTCCTAGATCTAGTTATTGTTTTAATTCAAACCACCCCAGAGGATTGCTTGCCATGAAGATGCGACATTTGAATATAATGGGCTTTCATGTTGTCTTGGTAAGAAAAAAAAAATGCTAATGAAACTTTTGTTAGTTATCGGTGTACTAACAGGAAAGCAAACCAATGAACATGAAATCTATTATTCCCACGCATAGTGACTCTATAAGACAAAGCCAGGTGTTTGCCTGGCTCTTTTTAATCTTGATGGACGTATATCAGCACATCATCTTTATTTGTTAGGATGGCTGGTCGGTTAGAGCTTCTTCGTCTCTGGTTAGGCACTGGGCTCGTAACCATTGCTCCAGCAGGGCGCTTGGATGTATTAGGAGCTATGTGAAATGTTGCAGTTGAATTAGTGATTGGAATTTCAAGGAATTGACAGCATTTTTGGAATAAATGTTTTAAAAGGTTTTTTTTTGTTTTTTTTTGTTTTTTTTTTTTTACCTACTACATGGCTTGACTTACACTGAAGAGATTTCTATAATTTAGTAGGGGTTTTGTAAATGTTATGTGTGTCTTCTTTTCTTCTGTTTGCTTAGAGGAGGAATGTGAAAAAGCAAATTTACGCTTAAAGCCATACCTATTTGCATGTTCTCTTGAGCAAGGAAAGAAAAGATGCTTATTAAAGCTTGGCATCTTTGGCCACTGTGAGGCTGTGGGATTTGTTGCTGGAGATTTGATGACGACGATGTTTCTTCCTGTTTCTTGCACTTCGCTTTTTTCTGAACACTACAGCTTTCCTTTCCAAATGTCAGCGTGTGCACTAAGAAACTTAAAATGAATTCATCTTTTTGCTGCTTTTGGCATCTAGAGGGATACCACTCATTTTTTCTTTCGCTCTTGTGTTTCATGTGGAATATAAATGTTCCCGTCCCCTATTATGGTACTTTCCCACTCTAGAACCGGACCTGCTGTTGTCAAAAAGATTCTGACTTTCGGTGATGGTCCACAGGGTTTCCAAGGTTATGTATCTTTATGGGAGGAGCCTGCCTTTCCTTCTCCTAGGGAGCGGCTGGTGGATCTGAACCACTGATCTTTTGTTTAGTAGCCCATCATGTAATACACTGTACCAACAGAACTGGATTACATATGTATTACTGAGACTAAGGTGACAGTGGAGTACATCATGCATTAGACTGCTAACCAAAATTCAGAGGTTCAAATTCACCAGGCTCTCCATCTAAAAAGAATGCGCAGTCTCCTCTCGTAAAAACTTAAAACTTCGGAAACTTGGTGCATTTGGAATTGACTTGAATGGCAGTGAGTAGACTAAAGACATTGAATTGACTTAAGACATATTGGCTGTATATGCAAACCAATATAATATAAATTTTAAGAAACCCAGACATATTGGCTTAATGTGTGTTCTACCTTTTCCAAAGAAATAGGGAAAAATTATGCTGTTTGGAGGTTTTTAAAGTTTTAAAACTTTACACAGAACTTTCTTCAATTCTGAAATATAATCAGGTTACAATTAAAAATCTGTGTAATTATATAAGTAATTAGGTTATAACTATTAAAATATGAATAATTAAAAATATGAGTAACTAAGTTATAATTAAAATATTAATAACTACAAGGTAATAACTTGCATTTCAAGTTGTTGACATGCGTTACTTTGATACGCTTGCGTCTCTGAACTAACTTTTGTTTTATGTGTTACCATCTTCTTACAAACTCATTGTTTTCTTCCTTCTTTGGTCAGGTCAATTCGTGGGAGATTGAAAGACTAGAGATCAACGATGCCGTCACATTTTTGAAGAATAAAATCTATTCAAGTGAAGCCCTTCTTACCACTGATGTTAATTTGGAAAATACGTGTTAAGTAAAAAGCAACCTTTTTAAAATGAGAGAGTTGAATTTGTACAAATAACTAATAAAGACTGTAGTTCCGTTTTCAGTGGACTTGACCTGACTGCTCCATAAGGAAGTACTACTTCATTTTACTGTTCAATTAATGAAGTTTTAAAAAAATTTTGTATTTCTTATAATTCTTTTTTTTTTAAATTTTATGGTAGTTCACCTACAAAGTTTGTATATATTGCCCTTCACACCAGATCCCCCTACCTCCCTTACCCACGCTCATCAAACCATGAGACCCCATGATTACCTTCGCCTGCCTGCCTGCTCCCCATTAGATCCTCATCCACATTTTGCTAGTAGTCTATTTCTACAATAATGGTCTTATACAGTATTTGTTTTATGAAAGTGAGTTAGTTCAATTAGCATAAAACTCTCTGGTCCCTACCAAGTTAGGTCGTGATAAACAAAATTATTGCTCCTGCCTGCTGCATAGTATTCCATTGGGTGAATGTACCATAATTTCTCTGATTGTGGTTGGACATTTGGTCTCTTTCCATGTTCTTGTGATGGTGAATAATGCTGCTATGAATATTAATGTACAAGTCTCCATTTATACCCAGCTGTTCTGCTGTTTGGAATATACCTCACTTAGTTTTAGGAATGAGGAAATGCTGCTACTTTTAGAAGATACAGAAAAAACTCCTGAACCGCACCTATTCCGCTAGTGCTTGAATGTTTGATTCATCAGTGAGCTGCTGGTTCTGCTTTCAGCTCTAGTACGCTGCAAACTGGTTTTTTAGTTGCCATGGATCACCAGGAAGTCCTTGTGTTTGGTGTCTGCTTTTTGATACTCTTGTGACAAGCTATTTTAGGATAACTTAAGGACTGTACCTGCAAACTATTTTTTAGTATTAACCAGTTAGCTAATACTTAGGCTCTCAAGTTGTAGGATCTATAAAAATTACTTGAGTGGGAAATTAAAAATGAAGACTCCTGGATTCAGGGTGAAGGATCTGCCATCTGCATTACACCAAGAACTCTTAAGTGATGCTGGTGAATGAATTTTATTTATAGGCCATCCTTTCAGAAAATAATAGCATGATACACAGGTATCCAGTTTTATTAAAACTGATGGTATATTGATTGCTACTATTCTAACTCTTGCAGTTGTTGATAACTTTCTTTTCTTTTAACCCCCCCCCCCACTATTTCTGAGGTCTTGTAAATACATTGCTGAACTGTGTTGTGAGTCACACTTGAAAAGAGCTTTTCAATTATGGTGTTCATTCCTTTGTTTAAATAATTGTTCAAGCTTGTTAGGTGCCGTTGAGTTGAGTGTGACTCATAGCAGCCCTATAAACAATGAATCCGAACCCTGTTCTATCCTGTGCCATCCGCACACTTCCTAACACATTGGAGCCCATTGCAGCAGTCACCATGTCAGTCCACCTGGTCGAGAGTCTTCCTCTCCTTTGCTGAACTACTGTTCTGAGCATAGTGTCCTTTTCCAAGGAATAACCCCTTCTAGCAACATGTCCAAAGTATGTGAGGTGAAGCCTCAATCTTGCCTCCAAAGAGCACTCTGGCTGCACCCTCTCTGAGACATATTTGTTAGTTCTTTTTAGTATTCCACTGGATGTTCAGTGCTCTTCTCCCAGCACCACAGTACAAAGGCATCAGTTCTTCTGTCATTCATATTCATTGTCTACCCCTCGGATACATGTTGTTAAGTGCTGTCGAGTCGTAGGCGACTCATAGCTACCCTATGAACAAAAGTCCTCAACACTGGTGTGACTTTCATCCTTTCTCCAGGTTCATAGGGTTTCCGGAGGCAAGTTATTACGGAAGTAGATGCCACTCCTGCTTCCAAGCTTGTTTCAACCGGTGAGCGCCACCAAACACTGTCCATCATGGGTAACCGTTATCACATTTGACACATCAGTGTCACAGTGTTCAGCTTCACAGCGACCACAAATTACTCTGTACAGCAAGTGGACACACCAGGTCTCTACGACCTCAAAGGATGTTTGAACAAAAACAATGAAAAACAGGCCCGAGGGCTACACATTAGAAATCACCCACCTTTGGCTTGGTAGCATCAGTTTCTCTCCACTAGCCAACTGATCTCACTATGTTGGTGTTAATGTTGTTAAGTGCTGTGGAGTCAGGTGTCTCATAGCGACCCTATCTCAGATACATAGCAGCGATCAAATAGACCGTGACCTGAATCAGATGCACCTTGGCCCTCAAACTGACATCATTACTCTTCAATAATTTGGAGAAATCCCTAATTGCAGACTTTTCCCAGTGCATTTCCATAATTCCTGACTGTTGGTACCAAGGGTGTTAATCGTGGATCCAAGTAGGGTGAAGTTAACAGTTTCAATCTCTTCTCCATCCATCATGATGTGCCTGTTGCACCACTGGTGAGAATCTTTGTTTTCTTGACATTAAAATTCAATCCAAGTTGAAGGCTGCATTCTTTGATCTGCAATAAGTGCTTCAAGTTGTCCTCACTGTCATCAAGCAAAGTCGTGTCATCTGCATAATGCAGGCTATTGATGAGTCTCCCTCCAATCCTGATGCCACATTCCTTTTTTTTTTGTTGTGTAATTTTAATGAATTCCCCATACTTGGACCAAGCGGCAGTAGTCAGAACAGAGCAGGGTAACACTGCATGGTTCAAAATTGGGAAGGGTGTACGCCAGGGATGCATCATGTCTCCATACCTTTTCAACATGTATGCAGAGCAGATTATCTGAGAGGCTGGGCTCTATGAGGAGAATTGTGGCATCAGGATTGGTGGAAGATCTATTAACAAACTGTTATGCAGATGACACAGCCTTGCTTGCTGGAACTGAGGAGGACCTCATGCACTTGCTGCGAAGGGTCAAGGACTGCAGCCTTCAGTATGGACTGAGGCTCAATGTCAAGAAGACAAAGATTCTCACCACTGGATCAATTGGCAGTATCAGGATGGATGACGAAGAGATTGAGAGTGTTCACAGCTTCAGTTTGCTCGGCTCCACAGTCAACACTCTTGGCACCAGCAGTCAGGAAATCAAAAAGTGTTATCGCGATGGGAAAGTCTGCTGTTAGGGACCTCTCTAAAGTACTCAGGAGCAACGGTGTCTCTCTGGAGACTAAGGTGTGCCTGATACAGGCCATGGTATTTGCAATCGCTTGTTATGCATCAGAGAATTGGACAATGACTAGGGAGGACAAAAGGAGAGTGGATGCTTTTGAGCTGTGGTGCTGGATTGAAGGGTACTGAATGTACCATGGACTGCCAGGAAAACAAACAGATTCATCTTGGAGAGGATTAAACCAAGCTACTCCTTGGAGGCAAGGATTCTGGGGCTTCATCTGACATACTTTAGACACGTTGCAAGGAGGGACGGGTCCTTGGAGAGGGACATCATGCTTGGGAGGGTGGAGGGACTGCGCAGGAGGGGAAGACCCTCTATGAGATGGATTGATTCGGTGACTGGGGTAATCGGGATGGGTGTGTCAGAGGCAGTGTGGTTGGTGCAGGATAGAACAGGGTTTAGGGCTGTTGTGCATAAGGTCGCTATGAGTCGTGAATGACTCGATGACACATAACAACAACAACAACAACAATTTTAATGAATGTCTACAGAGACTTTGAATTTCCATTCATTCATTGTTGCACTTTACTCCCTGTCCACCCCTACCCCCAATTCACTCTGAAAACTAAAAGAAAAATTCTTTCATTGTTATACAGTCCCTTCCCCCAAGTCCACTCCACTGTGCAGCCTTCATTCTGGACTTTTATCATGACAACAATACCTAATCTATCCTTTTTAAAAACAGTTCTCTCCCTCATCTGTTTCAATGCAGTATACATAATTTATCCCCTCTTTCTCAGTCTCCCCTCATCCCCCATGTCAGTCTTTTTTTTATAACACTGGCATTATGCAGTATTTGTCCTTTTTTGATTGAGATATTTCACTCAGCATAATGTCCTCTAGGGTCATCCATTTTGTATTATTTCACAAGTACCTTGTTTTTCAAGGCAGCAAGTATTCCATTGTGTGAATATACCAGATCTTCTCTATCCATTCACTTGTTGATGGGCACTTGGGTTGTTTCCAACTCTTTCCTATTATAAACAAAGCCACAATAAACATGATTTTTTTTATATCTGCTTGGGTGGCAGTTCTGTTTTCTTTAAGGTATATTCCCAGTAGTGGAATTGCTGGGTCAAATAGTTTCTATTTGCAACTTTTTGAGAAAGCACCATTCTACATTCCCACCAACAGTGATCAAGGGTTCCAGTTTCTCCACAGCTTCGCCAGCATTTGTTTGCTGTTCTGTTAAATTTTGCTATTGCTGAGGTGAGATGATCTAGTTGTTTTACATTCCTCTTCTTAAGAGTCCAGCTTCTTGAATAATTTGCTCAGCATACAGATTGAGTTGGTATGGAGAGAGAATACAACCATGACACACTTCATTCTTAATTTAAAACCATGCGGTGTTTCCCTGCTCTGTTCACACAACAGAACTGGTCTGAATATAGGTTTTCCATGAGCACAATTCTCTGGAACTCCCATTCTTCTCAATGTCAGCCACAACTTGGTTATGATCCGCACAGTCAAATGCCTTTGCGTAGTGAATAAAGCACAAATAGACATTCTTCTGCTATTTACTTTCAGCCAGGCTACAGTTGACAACAGCAGTCATATCCCCAGTGCCACGGCCTCTTCGAAATCCTGTTTAAACTTCTGACAGTTGGATGTACAATTCTTACTATTTTTGAGTGATCTCTAGCAGTATTTTGCTCACATGTGATATTAATGTTATTGTTTGATAATTTCCACATTCTGTTGAATCGCCTTTCTTGGGAATGGGAATAGGGACTTCTTGCACTCTGTTGGCAGACAGCTGTCCCCCAGATTTCCTGGCATCGACTGGTAACTGCATCCAAAGCAGCACCTGTTAATTAAAATAAGTCAATTGGTATCCCATTGATTGTTGGGCCTTATTTTTTGCTAATCCCTT